TAGTAGCCATCAACACTGACATCTGAAGAAGGAATTGCAGAATTTAAATTTGTTTCGCTGAGTGCAAGCAAGTCTGGTGAATTTTGCAGGAGGTAAGACTCAACTGATGGAAAGTTGCTTCGTAGACCGCGAATATTTGTAAAAGATATATTAAAATATTTAGGTGGTGGGGATGGTTTTTTAGGTTTTAAATTTTTGGTTACTTTGGTCATGATTTGGGTTTAATGAGAACTTGACTCATTCATAGATAGAGCACAGCCTCCTAATCAATGAGCTATGCAGTTGTCTCAGTCCTGTTAATTAACCCTAAGCCGTGACATAGGGCTCCTTATGTGGCCTTGACAATGCACACCAAAACCATTAACAGGGACACCATCCATGCGCAACATGGCACTGTTAATACTCTGATATTTTGCAGCTGTTGATGGAATCAGCCTCTCTGAGAGCTACCACAGAGTTCAGGAAACCTTACTACCAGCAGGCCTCAGAACCATTAAACTGAGTTTTAGAGCTGTACCCTCATATGGAGACAACAGGAAGAGTTGCATAGTCATTATCAAGGAGGCATAAGCAAAATTCTATGAGTAGAGTCAAGGAGATCCAGCATTCATCATCCTAAGGTTACATCTACGCCAGCCTAATAGATGAAGAAGGGGTTCGAGGCTGGTTAGCAGAATTTTTCTGCTTACCCCTAAAGTCTTTGCCTAGGAGGCCTTCTACAAGACAGTAGCAGGATGCACTTAACATCTGCCCAAGATGAGTATTTTTATCGAGACATCATCTCTAGCCTTTACTCAACCAAGAGCCCCAAGGCAGGGGATGTTTAGCTGGATGCAGTTAACATCTGCCCAAGATGAGTGTTTTTATTGAGACACCATCTCTAGCCTTTACTCAACCAAGAGCCCCAAGGAAGGGGATGTTTAGCTGGATGCAGTTAACATCTGCCCAAGATAAGTGTTTTTATCGAGACACTATCTCTAGCCTTTATTCAACCAAGAGCCCCAAGGCAGGGGAATTTTTAGTCGGAGTTTATTTCTCCTAGCCTTTGCATAAGAAGAGCACACTCTGCAAGGCAGCAGGGCTTGTTGCAGGTGGTAATGGGTTATGTGATACCAGTAGCAAGATTGATCTCGATTATCCTGACCTGATCTGGAGTAGTTAAAAGGAATTACTTCCCGCAGCAGTACTTTGAGAAAACCAGGCATGACATTTTGGAAGTGCATTAGGAAAAACACTGCATCTAACAAAATACAGGAGTCTAAGGTGAGTGTAGGTTTTGTAGTTGGAGTAAGTAGTTAGTTACTGAGCTCACGCTGCATTAGAGAATAAACAGAACACAAACAAACATAAATCAACTTACGGGTGAGTCAACACCACGCCAGAGGTTCAGACAGAACATAAACATACATAAAAAACATAAAGGATAAAGATTAACTTTTCTGAAATTTTAAAACTGTATTGCATGAAGATAATTTCTTTTAAATGTACCAATAACTGAGATTTTTTTTGGGTGATTTTAACTAATGGTAGAGGTATTTACATTTTATATCATATTGCAGTAAACTATAGGATGATTTTTTTTTTTTTTTTTTTCAATCATCTTTGCTTCCAAAAAGGCTGCAAACAACCATAATTTAGTGTTAGAAGTTACTGGAAGAGAAAAGATGAAGATTGTAGAGCAAGATAACGATTGACAGACGACTTAAAAGACTGCAAATTATATGAATCAGGAAAGCAAGACGAAGGAAGCGAATTCCAAAAAACTGATGTTCCAAGGAAAAAATTAGACGAATAAGAGTTTTTGGAGCACTTAGGAACAGTAACAGAATAAGAGTGACACTTAATTGAATGACGAGTAACACGAGAATGAATTTTAGTAGATAACACAAGAGACGCTAGCTCTTTAGAGCAGTGCCCATTACAGTATTTGTAAAAAAGAGAAAGAGAAGCAACATTACAACGATATGACAAAGTTGAAGGTTGGCTGCAAGAGCAGGTCCAACTATGTTTACAATGCATTTTTGCACCTTGTCTAAAAAAGAAAGGGCATCATTAGAAGATCCGCCCCAGATATGGCAACAGTATTCCATACAAGGCCGGATTTGAGATTTACAGAGAGAATAGAATTCAGAGTAAGAAAGTGTTAAGCTCAATAAAGAGATGCAACTTTAGCAGATGCTAATTTTGCAATGGATTTAATATAAAGTTTCCAAGAAAGATCAGAAGTAATAGTTAATCCAAAAGATAAAGGGTAGATGACTCATCGAGTACATTGCCGTTCAAAAATTTAGGAAGGTCTAAATTATTGCGATAATGATTGGCTGAAAAAAAATTGAGTTTTATCTGAATTAAAGCTCACCAGTCACTGTGAGCCCCATGCTGTAGCAGAATTGAGATCCTTTTCAAGCTTAAATGCCCCCTCCAAATAATCAGAGAGTGTTGGCTTCTTATCATGACAAGAATAAATGGTAGTATCATCAGCGAACAATGCCACCTTAAATGTGAGAATATCTGGAAGATCATTAATGAAAATTAAAAAGAATATAGGGCCAAGGATAATACCTTAAAGAACCCCTGAGGTTACTGAATAAGAAGAAGAGTGCTGTCCATCAAGGACAACTTTTGAATGTCGAGCAATGTATCAACCTGTTTGACAACTATTTCAGGTAAAATGCAACTAGCGAAATCAAGAGATGATATTGATGAAAAGTTCTTAGCAAACAATTCAGCTTTGTCTTTGGTAAGGTGACAGAGTCTGAACATGCAAAAGAGGTAGAATTACAGGCTTGCCCTTATTATTGATACTATTAAAGATTCTCCAGAAGTCACGAGAGCCTAATTTTTAAGATGAAATATGAGATTTTATGATCTGAGAATAGCGGGCTTTGGGGTTAGACAAAACCTTTTCACAATGGTTCCTAGCAGTAATAAACAGACGTCTGTTTTCTGGAGAATTGTTTTGCTGATAGATATGGAAGTAATGGTTTTGATTGGCAATTGCAGCAGCACAATGTGAGGAAAACCATGGAGAAGAGTGAGGCTTGACCTGCAATTGTCGAGAGAGAATAAAGGATTTCATGCCAGCCTGAATCCACAAAGTTATGTAAAAAGCACATTTGTCAACAGGAAGACGAAAGATTTCTACCCAAGTAGAGTAGGTAAATGATGTCTGGAAAGCGAGTTGGAAAGTTGACTATTTGAGTTAGGGATTGAGAAAGGCAAAAGTTATGGGTTTTAATGCCTGCAGAGTCACTGACACTAGAGCCAAGCCATTCAGTTTGATGAACATTAAAGTCACAGACAACAACAATATTCGCTGATGGATAAAGAGAGGGCTTGGTCAATATGATCAGAAATAAAATCAAGAAGAGTGCAGTTTTTAGATGAAGGAAAGTGATATAGAACAAAGAGAAAGGTGATAGAGTGAAGTGGTGCTAAATGAAAGCACATAAAAGAATAGTCTGTGGATTCATACCTAGTTTTCCGTCAAATGGGTGAATTCTTACGAATGTATGTAATGTAATGTAAATGCCCAGGCCAAGCATGTGACTATTGGAATCTTTACAAATTAAAGGAAGATAACCATCAACACTAAGATCACAAGATGAGACAACTGAACTCAAATTAGTCTTACAAAGAGCAAGTAGGTCTAGTGAAACTTGCAAGAAATAAGACTCAACAGAAGAAAAGTTACTTCAAAGACCACGAACATTAGTGAATGATAGGTTTAGCGAACTTGGTGATGTGTGTGGTTTTTTAGTGTTTTATAGTTTTTTGTTACTTTATTCATTTTTAAATTAGTTAAAGAACTTGACTCATAGATAGTACTCAGTACACTGTTTAATAGCCCAAGCAAATGCTTTATTACTATTAATAAACCCTAAGCCGTAACAAAGGGCTCCAATGTGGCCATGGCAATGCACACCAAAAGTACAAACATGGACACCATCCATGCACAATATGGCACTGTAAGTAATTTGATATTTTACAGCTGTTGATGAAACCAGCCTCTTTAAGAGCTACCACAGAGTTTGGGAAACCTCAGAACCATAAAATTGAGTTTTAGAGCTGTACCCTCATGAGGAGATAATAGAATGAGTTGCCTAGTCATAAAAACAGAGACACAAGCAAAACCCATGCATCGAGTCAAGAAGATCCATCCTAAACTAAAAACAATGTATAAATAAATGTATAAACAATTTATAAATAATATGATATTGCTCTTTAAAAAGTAATAGTAGTTTTAATGGGAGTCTTTAAAGCATAAAATTATTTTATTGTTAATTATATTATAAAATTATTTTATAAATTATATTATAAAACTATTTTATTATAAATTATATTATAAAATTATTTCATTATAAATTATGTTATAAAATTATTATATTATAAATTATGTTATAAAATTGTTTTATTATAAATTATATTATAAAGTTATTTTATTATAAATTATATTATAAAATTATTTTATTATAAAATATATTATAAAAATATTTTATTATAAATTATATTATAAAAATATTTTATTATAAACTATATTATAAAAATATTTTATTATAAAACTTATCTTGAACATTTTTAAATTATATAAAATTTAAAAACCTTAAAAATTTTAGAGCATAAAATTATTTAAAAACAATTCCTAAAACTTTATGTTTTTATTGTTTAATTTGTTTCATTTCTACAAATAAATACAGAAGGCTTTAAGTATGAAATATGAAAAATAGGAGACTAATCCAAAAACAGCAACATGTTTTATTATAAACAGAATTTTTTTAATTTTCAAAGTTTAATAGATTGATTGCTTATAATTTAAAATGTGTATCTATATTTAGAAATAAAGATATAGAAGCTTTATAACAATCAATGTAACAAAAACATTAATGAATAAGAAAATTCTTGTTTAAAAAAATTCCTACATTACAGTCTAAAGTTTTGATCATTATTTATATTCTAAAAAATAGTTACCAATCAATTATTATTTGTTTTTAAAACTATACCTTATTTCCTGTGAAAATCTTTGTTAAAAGATCACATCTGTAGACATCTGGTAATGAAGCCAAATACAAGTTTGAATCATGTAAGCGTGATTCATCCAACCACAAAGCAAAGGTTTTATATAAGCTATTTGACAAGATAAAAATTGATAAACGCAATAAATTCAATCACAAAGGAAAGATTTAAAAAATATATATATAGTAAAGTATACATAAAGTGTAATAAAAAGTTTTATAGAACTTTTCTTAGCTTACTGCATTAATGACAAATTAAAATCATTGGAGTCTAGTTTATGATCATCATTTGAGTTATTGTTGCTCTCAATTATATTCTTGTGATAATCAGCAGACCCATACAAAGAAGACTTCATATTTTTTAAAGTAGAAATTAGAGAGGTGTTTTGAAAAAAACGATGTCCAATACCAGATCGTGAAGGAAAACTAAAAATTACAAAAAAAGTTGTCACATAACTAATTAAACAATCTTTTTTTAAAAACAAGATCACCATGCAAGTATTTGAAAATATTGTAGAAAAATATTTTTGTAACTTTTTGAATTACATATTTTTGCATTTTCTTGTGATTGATAAGGATTGATTTTTACAAGTTATTGATCATAAATTAGCAACAGTGAAGGTATGTATTGTATGTACTGTGATTTGAATAGATATTATGGTCTGTGATTAGTCATAAATGTGATGTTGTAATGCAATTAAATAGATTTCAATTTAATAGACATTATCTGAACATGCATTTATAGTTAAATATATTGCTAAAAAAATAAGATTTTTTTGTGCTTACATAAAATTTTAAATGGGGCAGACTAACATTTATATATATATATATATATATATATATATATATATATATAATATACATGTGTGTATACAAAAGTCTTACCATAAAACATAGAAATGAGGTAGGCAAAATTTTGCTGACCTCAAACACTTTTCGTTCATCAGTTAGGTCGACATTGCTGAATGCCAATCATAATTCAGAGGGCTGTAGATATGTTTATATATATATATATATATATATATATATATATATATATATATATATATATATATATATATATATATATACATATATATATACATTATATATATATATATATATATATATATATATATATATATATATATATATATATATATATATATATATATATATATATATATATATATATATATATATATATATATATATCTATATATATATATATATATATATATATATATATATATATATATCTATATATATATATATATATATATATATATATATATATAACAGGCCTTGCGATAAAGCGTCGGGCGATTTGAATTTTACGTCGTCCAAGAGCGATTTTGCGTGTAGCTAGGGCTATTTGCGTCGAGCAAAAAATTTTTAGTTTGAGTATATTTAAAGATATTTTTGAGCGGAATTTTAATGAAGTAATTTACGAATATTTTAACATTTAATAAAGTAATTTAAAAACCGCACGCAGTTGAAAAAGTTTGAATTTAAAAAAATTGAATATGCTCTTTATTTACAAGTAGAAAAAAATCAAAAATTAAAAAAAAAGTTTAAATCTTTTAAGCTAACATTTAATTAAAATTATCTAAGATTTAATTAAAATTGAACAAAAATACTTTCTTTTAGTTTTAGATTTTAAACTTAAATAATTATTTTACGGGGGTTTGTTAGGATTTAAAATTATTCCATAGATTTAAAAATATTTATTAACTGTTAGACGTATTTAAAGTATTTAAGAGTAATTTTGAGGAAAGATTTTAAAAATTGGTGAGGGCAAATAAAAAAATAAAAAAGGATTAATATTATAACGTATTCTACTTGATTCAATAAAAAAGTACAGTTATTAAAATTTTTGTAAAAAGTAACTCAAAAAAATTACTTAAATAATAACGATCGCTTTTATGTTAAAAGTTACCGAAACTCAACAAAGCGTGCTCAAGAACAGCTGCTGAAAAATAGAACGTCAATAGTTTTTCAAATAATTTTTAAGAATAATTTTTTCGCTGAAATATTTCTTTTATTCCTAAAAAATTTTTATTCTAACATATTTTTTTTTACTAGAAATAAAATTCCTTGTTAACATTAAAAATCTATTCAAAACGTTCGTTTAAGTTTTTTATTAATACGAGTGATTGTGCTTATCAACCGCTTTATGAAAATAAATAAAAATAAATAAATATTATATAAAATCGCTTGTAAAAAATATTAGCTATTGCACAGTTTTTAATCGTACAATATTAAAATTTCCAGTTTATTACTCGCTGACTTTTTAAAAAAAAAAAATAATTATTTGAAAAACTTTAAATTACATATTTAAGAAAAAAAAAATCAAATATTAGCATATTTTATAATCTTTTTTAAATTTAAGTTATAATGTTTTTTATTCGTTTAGTATAGACAAAACGTGACAAACGTCGAGAAAATAAACAAATGTTTTTACATTTTAAAAAACGAAACATTCCAAAACATTTTTAAATAATAACATTTCTACATAAACGATTTAAAGTAGTTTTGCGGTAATTAAGTAAATTGGTGCAGTTAATGTCGATAAATATGAAAAGCAAATAAAAAGAATTTAATGACGTCAAAAATCACGCCGTGCTTATGCGTCGCGCAGTTCTTATTCATCGCAAGGCCTGATATATATATATATATATATATATATATATATATATATATATATATATATGCAAAAAACTTGTAAAATGGGTTATAGGAGCTGTGTATGTATCTAAAGTACTCTATTTACTGTTTCAGTTTTCATTTATGTTTTACATTTTTTTTTTTTTTTTTTAAAATTTTACTTCACCTCCTCAAGGCCGAGAAGGCCACTACAGACGAGGAGGCTACTTATTTTGTGGCTATAACCCTCTCTCAACTCTATAACTCCGAAACACGAACCTTGACGAACAAGGCCGCTGCGCAGAGAAACGAGTTGAGCGCGGTACTACCAGGGACGTGGTGGGGATCGAACTCGGAACCACTCGTTTATGAAGCGAGCGCTCTACCACTACACCACTACCGCATACATGGATGGCATCCTTGTTAATGTTCTAAGTAATTGTTATAATGAGCAGTTTTTGCTCCTAGAAACTAGAAAGTTTACTTTATGACTCAATAATCAAGCCTTCTCAGGATACTCGTGGCTAATGGGTTGCAGGCCTTATATGACCACATATAAAAATTTGTTTTTTGACAACTTGGTCACAGTTTTTTGCATATATTGATAATTTGGGTGTTTTAAAAAATTTGATGAAAAAACCAAACTAATTTAAAAAGAAAATTTAAAATAAACCATAAACTGAAAAGAGAAATAAATTTAATGAATGGTTAATAAATAAAGGTTAAACCAGAGAAAATAAAAATTTAAAACTAATATACTTTTTAATTTAGAAACATCTCAATTAATAGTTTAAGCTTTAATAGTTTAAAGGTAATAATTTTTCCTATATCGCCAAGCTGATGTAGCGCATAGGTTTATATAGCGCAACTGTTATATCATTATATAACTAGGATTTGAACTCTTAACCTATATATAGGTTGAGGGTTCAAATGAGGTTGAGCTATAGCTTTTTTTATATTTTATTTGCTTTGTAGACATAAGAAAATATCAAAGTTTTAAATTTTTAAATGATTAAGTTATTAGATAAAAAATATCAAAGTAATTAAGCTCGGATTAAATAACATTGAAACTTAATTATTTGAATTCTTTCTAGTGAAACTCTTAAATTAAAACAAAAAGATATTGTAATATTATGCTTTTTTTTTTTTTTTTTCTTTGTGTTAACTTATTAATTAATTTATCATTCATCAAGAATTAAAGAATACTTTGAGAAATATGAAAAAAAATTTTAGAAATGTAATCTTATTCAAAAACAATTAAAAAGGAAAAAAAAATATATGTAAGACAAGCTTTATATCATTTTACACTAGATTAAAAAAACAGCTTTTTTTTTTCTATAGTATACTCTAGAAGATTATTGATAATCTTCTATAATATATTTTATATTGTGTTGAACTTATATCGTGTATGTATGTATATATATGTATATATATATATATATATATATATATATATATATATATATATATATATATATATATATATATATATATACATATATATATATTATAACCAAAGCACTATTATACGCACTCAAAATATATAAAATTGCTGTTTTAGGTCGAAGAAAAACACGCTAAAGTCGAAAAAGTTTAATGTTTAATCTTGCTCTAGTGTGTGTGTGTATATATATATATATATATATATATATATATATATATATACACACACAAAATAAGTTACTAAAATATACTATAGAAGATTATTAATTATCTTTACAACTATAGTATTTTATATTGAGTGTGTGTGTGTGTGTGTGTATATATATATATATATATATATATATATATATATGTATGTAAATGTACGTGTGTTATTTTATAAGTTATATTTTTTATTATATATTATCTCATATTTTTTATTTATACATATATTATACATTACTGGCAATAATTTAAAAATATTACCCAGATGAACTAGTAGGTTTCTTTAAAAATATCATAAAAAATTGTTGCCAAATAATTGGAAGTAGAGGATGAGAAGATGGCGTACTCATGGCTTGCTCACCCCATCGGTAAACACTAAGCGTATGAAATGGAGGTAAATATGAGGATTTTAAGCCCATGGAGACTTTCTATAAGCAAATTTGAAAAAATATATAAAGTAAAATATTATAAAATGATACTTTCCTTTATATTTTTATATAAGAATTTTTATATATTTTTAATAATATAATTTTTATAATATTAGAAAAATCTTTAAATAATTAACATAATGCAAAACAAAAAAATATTTTGTAACTTAGCAACTAAATAAATATTCAAAAAGTTTAATCAGATTATTTTTAAAAATTTTGTAAAAATGTAATTTAAAATGTAATTTTTAATGATTCTAATGCACGAAGTGAAACAAATATTATTGGAGAAAAAAACATTTTTTAAAATTGAAACACACATGCATTTTTGTTATTTATTCATAAACAACCAAAATTACATGGCAACTGAACTTAGGTGATTTTACAGTATGTATATTTACATATATATATATATATATATATATATATATATATATATATATATATATATATATATATATATATATATATATATATATATATATATATATATATAAATATAAATAAATAAATATATATATATATATTTAATAAATATATATATATATATTTATTTATTTATATTAAATGAATAAAAACAACTTTTGATGGAACTCTGAGTTTCATGCCTTACGGCAATCATCAGCCATTGTGTATTTCGTCACTTAAAAACCGTTTAAAAATTACAAATTAAAATTACGGTGGAACGAGTTCTGACGTTACCAAACAAAACAAAACAAAACAAAACAAAAAGACGTCAAAGATTTTAGTCCCCGGTATCAAATAAGGATAGTAAAAATTTTTTTGAATGCCGGCACTTTGATATTATTTCATATCTTTTATTAAGTAAGTTTTCTCCTTTATATGATAATATGTGAAACTTCTCGCGGAGACAAAGATTATAAACTTTTGATGCTTGATTGTAGGGCTTACATTGTGCTATTATCTTCCATGTAATCACAGGATTTATATGTTTTGTTTTTAGCTCCCATATTTCTTTAGAAAGTTCAGTGTCATTTTTATATTTGGGTGCATTGAAAGATTTAAGATGGTTGGCATATCTTAATTTAAATGTGGTTTCACTTATACTAAAATAAACTTTATCTTTGCATTGAGGATCACCAGAACTTACAGTGGCTTGGTATACGATATTGCTAAAAAGGCATTGGTTATTTAACAGACAAATATTTTTGTCTATGCAGTTACATTTTTTTGATGTTTTATTTTTATCGCTATGTAAAATTTTGTTATTATGCGTATTTATTAAAGACTTGACATTAGGCATGCAACTATAGCTTACTTTAACATAGTTTCGATTAAAAATTTTATGAAGCCTGTGTCCTACTGGAAAGTGTTAGTCAATTAAAGCTAAAAAGCGATTTCCAATTTTAGTTTCAACATGTTTGCTAAACGGGGGGTTGTACCATATAATTTAAGTTTGCGATGTCTTTTCTAAAACCTGATGTCTGACTAAAACCTTTGACGTCTTTTTGTTTTGTTTTGTTTTGTTTTGTTTGGTAACGTCAGAACTCGTTCCACCGTAATTTTAATTTGTAATTTTAAACGGTTTTTAAGTGACAAAATACACAATGGCTGATGATTGCCGTAAGGCATGAAACTCAGAGTTCCATCAAAAGTTGTTTTTATTCATTTAATATAAATAAATAAATAAATATTGCTCTATTATTTAATAGTATTGAGCACTCTTAAACGCACAAGAGTATTTGTATTATTATTATTATACCATAATAATACACTTTCTATTTTGTATAAATTTGCTCCTACAAGTTGAGCACTCTTCTCAAGTCGTCAACAAAAATGGAAAAAATAAACTTGAAATATTCAATCAAAAATATACCGATTCCATCTGAAAAAGAATATAAATTAAAACTACTAAACAAAACAGAAATGCTCGTAAAGAAAATGAGATGGAAGGCGTTTTTTTTCATAAATAACTACCCAAGAAATGATTCAAATTATACAGACTACAGAATCAAATCATCAAAATGCCCACCACAAATAAATGAAATGTGTTCTTTCGAAAAAGACCTTATAAACTTAGTTAAATCAATAAAATTTTGCAATGTATACTTAATTATATACATAATAGATATAAATATATAATAGACTTATACTAATATAATCTAAATATTAATACGGTAATGAATATTAGTGCGCATAGTTTCGAGTATGATTGATTATATACATAATAGATATAAATTCGAGTATTGATTATATACATAATAGATATAAATATATAATAGACTTATACTAATATAATATATATTATATTATAATATTATATTATAATATTATATTATAATAAATTTATATACTTATACTTATACAAATATAATATATAAATAACATATATCCTGACATATTTTGAGAAATGCATTTGTGAAAACAGTGACATTACATTTTTTCTTTTCTTGTTTGTGAGCACACTTCCAAAAGTTTCAATAAACAATATGTATAACAAATGTATTTGTTGTATGTAAAAATGTATTTGTTATATGTTTTTTAGAGTTAAGCTGTTGTTAACTAAAAAACTGTAGTTTTTATATATATATATATTAATTTATATAGATATATATAATAATTTATATATTATATTAATAATATATATATATATATATATATATATATATATATATATATATATATATATATATATATATATATTAATAAATTAATATATATTAATAAATTAATATATATATATATATTAATTTATATATATATAATAATTTATATATAAATATATATATATAATAATTTATATATATATAAAAATATAAATATATATATATATAAAAATATATACATTTATATATATATTTATATATATATATATATATATATATATATATATATATATATATATATAAATATATTTATATGTATATATATATATATATGTATATATATATATATATCAATATATATATATATATATATATATATATATATATATATATATATATATATATATATATATATATATATATATATATATATATATATATATATACATATATATATATATATACATATATATATAGGAAAATGAAAAAGTAGTCCAATTTTATTCTTATTTTTGTCAACTTTTAGCAAATAAATATTGATGTACACATGAAAGTTTATTTAAAATATACCTTTAGTACTAAAATTAATTTATTTATTTATATATATATATATATATATATATATATATATATATATATATATATATATATATTTATATGTATATATATATATGTATATATATATATATATAAATATATATATATATATATATATTATATATAAATATATATATATATATATATAAAATATATATATATATATATAATAATTTATACATAAATTGTATATATATATATATATATATATATATATATATATATATATATATATATATATATATATATATATATATATATATATATATACATATATATATATAGGAAAATGAAAAAGTAGTCCAATTTTATTCTTATTTTTGTCAACTTTTAGCAAATAAATATTGATGTACACATGAAAGTTTATTTAAAATATACCTTTAGTACTAAAATTAATTTATTTATATATATATATATATATATATATATATATATATATATATATATATAATATATATATATATATATATATATATATATATATATATTTATATGTATATATATATATGTATATATATATATATAAATATATATATATATATATATATATATATATAAATATATATATATATATATATAAAATATATATATATATATAATAATTTATACATAAATTATATATATATATATATATATATATATATATATATATATATATATATATATATATATATATATATATATATATATATATATATATATATATATATATATATATATATATATATATATATACATATATATATATAGGAAAATGAAAAAGTAGTCCAATTTTATTCTTATTTTTGTCAACTTTTAGCAAATAAATATTGATGTACACATGAAAGTTTATTTAAAATATACCTTTAGTACTAAAATTAATTTATTTAAGTCATTTTTATGCGTCTAAAAGATACGGTTTTTTTATTGTTGCATGATAAAAAAAAGTATTGTAAAATTTTATTTTAACTATGAATTTATTTGCATGATCAGAATTAATTTAGCATGAAAATGGATCTAAAATGTGCAAATTAATGTTGGTCAGAGTTTATACTTTATAAAATATATATATTTCAAGAAAATAACGAAAGAACTTTTGCAATTTTTATGCATCATAAGTTAACCAAAACATGATAAAGCTTTGTTTTTTCTAACATTTAGTTAAAAAAAATTAAGTTTTTTAGTAATATATGTGAAAGAATACTAAATGTTATATATATATATATATATATATATATATATATATATATATATATATATATATATATATATATATATATATATATATATATATATATATATACATATTTATGTTATCCTATTGGGTCATTCCATATCAAAATATCACTTTTTAAAAAAAACAATAAACTACATTCATTTTGTTGGCATAGAAAGTAGCCTAGACTGTTAAATTAAATTATGAAACTTTTTACTGGTAAGTTTCTATATATCACCAAAAAAGATTCAAAGACCTATACTTTATCTTATGACATAAGTTTAGCATTTTGAGTGCAATGCTTTTTTAGTTTAAAAGGATACCTAATAGTGCAAGTTATATTATATTTCAAAAAAATTAAAAAAATACTGTAAGAAGAAATGTATATACACATGAAACACAAGTACACTAATTTCTTTATCTCTGATTTATATAACTCATAATACTGTCATAATCATTATTATCAAGTTTGTAGCCACAAGCACTTCTACCCTTAATGGATGGAGCACTTATTTGATTACTTTGTCAATAGGAACCCAACACTGACTTGATTGTGTGTATTTTACTTTATTGATTGTGGGTAGTTGGATTTTGATCATTGGGAGTAACTTTGTGAGAAAACAATGAACTTTTGTTTGGTCATGGCTAATATGGTCAGAAATTGTACAATAGCATTCACATTTGAGTTGATTTCTTTCATCCTTGCAATAAACAGCAAATGGATGTAAGGTAGCTTGATCGGCTGGCCAGTAAAATATTTGTACTTGTACAATGATCGCAGACCCAGGCACAAGATGCTATACAGTATGTACAGCATCTTGCATAAGAAAACTATAGTTCTCTGCAAAATCCATAAGAATAAGACAAGTGTGTTGATTTAATGTTCTTTTTGCCTCTGATAAGTAGAAGGATTGTGCTTCTTTGATAAAGTAGTAGTGACTAAGGTCACACAAAGTTTTATTTAGAGTTTCAATAAACTCAACAATGCTTGTTTGGACTGTGACAAGTGCAGTTTGGCCAGTTGATACCCAGTGTTTGTTTGTGATCTGATCGTCAAAATCAAAATCATTATTTTCAAACATATTTTTTCAAGTAAGTCTTCAAATTTACTTTACCAGGGCAATTGGAACATAGATAAAACATGCAGCATCAACAATCTATATTACAAGCACATACTTTTATCAAATCTTTGTAATATATTAAATGGTAGGTAAAGCATCACACATCAACTTTTTGACAATAAGCATTTTGACGATAAGAACATATGCAAACTAAGTGACTTCCACTACAGTTAACTGTGATGCATCACTTTAGCCTTAGTTCACAGAACTTGCTGAATCCAACTTTGTGTGTGGAGTATAACTTTTTAAACACAAGATAAAGTTCCTTTAATCAAACTAATATTAAACGTTTTTGTTTATGAACTTTTACATTATTTATACGCACAGAAACAAAGTCTTTTTTTCCTGGACATTGTCTCATAAACTCTTCAGAGTCATAAATTTCAATAACTTTTTGTTTAACAATATTTTCCAAAGGCTGTCCTATTTTAGCCTTTCGAGCTTTCTTAACAAGATGTTCTAAAACTAATAATGTTTTGCAAGTTTTTTCAATTGACTAACTATCAGGAGTTAGTGTTAGTAGTTTTTCTTCCTTCAAATTTATTTTCTTCCTTCAAACTTATTTTCATTTTATTTTTTATTGCATCTAACAGTTTGTCTAAATCATTACAGTTTATACATTTTTGCTTTTTTTCCGATTCTATATCTTTTGAGTCTATATCCAATGCTGACACTACTAAGTTTATCATACTTGTTGCAATGTTTTTAACTTTTTGGTTTCCATATCGTAATTTGTTGCACCTACTTACATTTTTGAATGGAGATATTTCCAATAAAAACACACTCTTATTAAGAACTGTTTTATCATAGTCTGAACAACTAAAATCTTCTTCAGCAGCTTTATCTTTACTAACTTCTGTAATTTTGTTTTGTATAAATGAATTCAAGTTTGAATTCATACAGTTAATACAAACTTTTTGACCAGGTTTTATCTTAGGTTTATTTGCTATTGATAAGTTGACTTTACACAATCCCTTGATAATTTTTTTCTTATGGACTTTAAATGGATCACAACAGTATTTTTGAGGTGTTTCATATCTAGAGATATAGGCTTTTTCATGGTGAAAATATATCTCCTCATTTGGTTCAATAATGTATTTTTTTTTTGAATTAAAACTTCAATATCAGTATCTTTTAGTGTTATTCTTCTTACTATTCTACAACATGATATTTTATCACAATCTTCATTTAAAACTCTTCTCATGCAACATTTTTCTGACATTTTTTTACTAAAAATATTAAAATCCAGGGTTAAACATGTAACATTATTATCTGAAAAAATTTTTTTTTTATACTTTTCCGGTAATAAAATCAGTAAAAATGAAATCTCAAGTCTAAAATGCAACCAATAAACTATTTCTACATATAACTATTTCTGCATACACAAAACCTTTTAGTTTTTGGTTCTTGATATATTAAAAAAAATAATAAAATCGAGAAAATACTGTGTAGATTAAAATTTGAATACAAACTTTTGAAGCAATTGAAGTATTTTACACTCAAATTATAACCATGCGAAAACTATATCATTATAATTGTATTTTATGCATAAAATTAAACAAATACATATAAAATCATATCAAATAAATTAAGTTAAGACACTGATAATGTTATTTTAGGGAAAACTGATTATATTTATTTAGGGAAAGTTAAAAATATATATTTAAGTCAAAGGGCTACAATTATGTCATAAGATAGAGTATAGGTCTTTAAATTTATTTTTGTCTCTATATAGAACCTTGCCAGTAAAAAGTTTCATAATTTATTTTAACTGTCTATGCTACTTTCTATGCCTACAAAGTGAATGTAATTTATCATTTTTTTTTAAAAAGTGATATTTTAACAGGCTGCTGCAAGTGCTAAAATAACTTTTAACACATAATTTTTTCGGCAAGTGGTTACTTTAAGTACACAAAAGTAACAAAAAATTGGCACAGCTTGTCTGTTAGTATTGAACTGTAGCACATTCAAGTTCCAAAATTTTTTCTAATATTGCATAATATTGCGTTATTTAGCAACTTTGAGGTACAAGAACTTAAGAATTGTTTAAAACCAGTCAAAAACATTTGCAAAATTGGATTATTTGGGTTAAAAACTATTAAAATACAAAATTTCAGGTGATCATCTTTTTTATATACAAAGTTATTCTCTATCAAAAATCAAAAAAAATCTACTGTAAGCTCCAGGTACGTAAATTTTTCTGATTTTTGTCAATACTAAATCAATTATAACGGTTTGGTCAATATAGCTGAAATTTTCAGGATAGTGTTTTTTTTCACAAAAGCTAAGGGTGGTCAAAATTTGAAGTAAATTTGAGGTGGTACCCTGGGGCACTTTTGAATAACTAGGTGATTTCATATGAAATAACCCTATTATATTTGTTATATTATCTTTCTTTTATGTTATCTTCTTATTATAAGTACACATTGAAATTAATAAAAAGTCTCATTTGATTTGTTTACATGCCTATTTAATCAATCTTAGCAACAATTTGAACAACAATAGCGGACTATTTAAGCAACAATAACCGCTTTACAATTTCTTGGCATTTTACGACTTATCCAATTTATCGAACCTTTTGCCACTCACTAATAAGTTTTTTCCACATTTTTGGGTCATTTTTTTCTAAAACAATTTCATATTTTTTGGCATTCCAACTAAAACAATCCCATACCTTAACACTACATCCACCACGTTTAACAGTCAATATTACACATTGTTTTATCATACCTTCAACAGCTTTTCTTCAGACAAACAATCTTTTCTAAAACACAAAGATTTAAAACTTTGACATAATATAAAGACCATAAGTTCTTACAGTCTTATCACAAAGAGGATTTAACTAGGAAGTTCACACAAGTTCATTCCTCACTGAATGTTGCTTATTGGGCTACAGCTGACATCGAACCTCAAACCTCTTGGTTCTAAGCCAGAACTCTCACCACTGCGCCACGATTGCAATAAATATTTCTTTAATATAGATACTGATGATTTGTCGAGTTTTTTTAGTACTATGTTTTTCTTTCATATTTTTTTCTGTTTTAGTTCTACTTGTTAGCAACTTTTTATTAGATAAAATTTAATTGAAGATTAACCGAATCAAAAATATCAGCAAAAATGCTTAACTTGTTAAAATATATTTGACACAAAGGCATTTTAATTTCAAGTGTTCAAAGTTTGGAATTTTTATTGAAGTATTAAAAAAGTTGTTCATAAATGTACTTCAAATGCAATTCAAAATATAAGTCCTAGTTAAGCAAAGTTTTTTGCCCAAAAAACAGTACAAATTATCAAATGGTCCCACTTAACCAGGGTACAACTTAAGTGAATGAGTTAAGCTATTCACTTATTTAGCTATAAATTTTGACATATTCACTTATTTAGCTATAAATTTCATATTTAGCAATAAATTAGCTATTTAGCTATAAATTACATATTTAGCTATAAATTTTGACTTCAATATTCTTGAAACTTTTAATGATACTATTTTTTATCTGAAAAAAAAAACATTTTTTCAAAATAACATTTAATTATGTAAATAAAAAAAGATAACTTTTTTTTTTAATGTGTGCATGTCATGTTCGTTATTTAATTAAAAAAAAAACTAAAACAAAAAAAAAGATTAATAACTTTTTGATTTTTTAAAAAATATCTTTCAAGGCTGAAGCAAATACTGATTTTTTCATTTTATGTATAGAGGAAAAACTTTAATAAAGAAATTTTTGGTTATTTTCTAATGATTTTAAATAGAAATAGAATAGTAATAACGTAGTTAACAGTATAACAAATTGAAATGACAATTAATTTGCATCAAAAATAAGCTAAATACAAGTAATATTGTGTTTACACGCAATCTTTATAATTGTGTTAATGTAACAAAGTACATAAACAATATAGGTATATAAACAAAATAAAGCAGTATAGAAACATTATCATCATAATAAACATAATTATTATAATAAACATAAAACATTAAACATTACTATAATAAACATAAAAACCTTAAAAACAGTTTTCCTATCACTTTTACAAACTGATTTTTTTTTATTACATAATCATGACATAATTGTGTAACTGTTATTTGATTTGTTTATTTGTTAAATTTTTAATTAATTTTACTAAAAAGATAGTGAGAAAAATCATTATTAACTACTAACTTATAAAACTAATTCAAACAATAAAGAATAAGTAGTGATACTATTAAATAGTTTTTATTGTAGTAAAAAAACTTTTGTAAGCTCCATTAATATATTTTTAATGTCATTAAAAGCTATTACCTTATAAGCTTGCTCAGCTGTAACTGATAAATTCATAAGCATTTCTAAAGATATCATTTTCCAAAAATCTATTGACTTTTCATACCTCTGTTCAACAACTAAGACAACATAAGCAAAATAGCAGAAGTTTGTTGTCTAAAAATAAAAATATTAAATCAAATTCTGACAAAATTATACTTGTCATGATTAACATGTTATAATTTTAACTGCATCCTACTACTTACAACAGAAGGCATAAATGATATTAACTGATTGCTAGACATCCAAGACATAACTGAAGAAAGAATTCCACGTGGTTCATTTAACTTAATCAATTCCTGCAATTGAAGTATTGTATAATGTATATATATATATATATATATATATATATATATATATATATATATATATATATATATATATATATATATATATATATATATAAACATATATAAACATATATTAACATATATATATATATATATATATATATATATATATATATATATATATATATATATATATATATATATATATATATATATATATATATATATAGTGTATATGTTACTGTTACCAAAAATAACCTGTTGACAACTCATACTAACTTTTATCAGTATTTAGACAAAGTGCTTAAAAAAGACACAGTTAAAAGAGCAAGAGTGCAAGTAAATGTCAGGATAATGTTCAAAACCAAATATTTTTGAACCAGTGATGGAATTAAGTTAAAAGTTTGTCATTTTGCTATTCAATACGCCATGTACTTATGCTGCGTGAAAATTTTTTTTATTTCCAAAACGTTTTTCTTTTATTTATTACTAATTTTCTAATACTTAATTATAAAGCAAGTGATGAAAAAGTACCAATTAACTAATCAATTTTAGTTGAATATAAATAAACATTTAAAACCATCAAAATAATTAAGGAAACTAATTAAATTTAACTGTTTTAAATATAAAGAATACAAAATTTATTGACTAGGAAGCTTTTGTTTTTTTAATTAAGTATAAGTTTTTCCTCACTTTAAACTATTTTAAATCTGTACATAAAGTATGCTTATTATGATAAAAAATTAAAGAATACCGAATAACCTTGATAATCAAGATTTAGTGTTAAAATATATAAAATTTTCATATGCAATAGCTACCTTAAAATAACTACCTTATATTCATTAAAAAGCATGTCTTGAACTTTTGATAGACCATCATGAACTGAAAAAGCAACTTTGCACAAATTATCAATCTGAAATAACACACTGTAATCCCTAAAAATTATTAAATAAAATGTCTTAAAAACTATTTAATAAAATGTTTAAAAAAAACACAAATAAACTTTAGTTCTATCTGTGATAATAAGAAGTAATAAAAATAATTAAAAATAATGGCTGCTGATTGGTTGTTTCAAGATCATATAACTAAAAATGTTGCAGAAAGTCCCAGCAGTACGTAAAAAAGATTAATTTATTTTACTAAAGAAAGCTGTGGTTAATTATAACCATGTTTAGAAATGAAAGATGTGGTTAATTATAGATCATAACCTTTTAAATAAAATAGGTTACCTGGTACTCTTATTACCTGAAAATTTGTACAGTTATAGCTGTGGTTAACTATTAAAATTGAAAACTTAGAAAAAGAAAATGAAACCCTAAAAAATAATTCTAACCAAATAAGTTTTAATAGCAAAATAAAAAGAAATTGAAGAGATTCATTTAAAACAATATAACAAAAATTATAAACATAAACCACCTTAGTAAGTCAATATTTATAACAGTCACTTATTTTGTTGAAGATACAGAAAGCAAAATATTTGATAATATTTACCTCATCAAGAAAGTTTAATCTAAATATTTACCACCGATTGATTAAAAAAACTTTTAACTCAATTCAAGTCTGTAGAAACATGATTAAAAAAGTGTATGGTTTGAAACCAAAACCAAAAATGAACATACAACAAATTTAATTTCAATAACAATCAACTATATAATATATAATTAATAATTATATAATTCTACCAAATCATAGCACAAGTAGTACAGTTCGAGTAGAGTTAAACAATAGTTGCAACAGAAATTTTTTTCTAAATGCAGCTAAATTATTAAAATTATCAACAAAATTTATTAATGTTTTATAAATGCAGATCTTAACAACACAGAAAGACTTCACATAGATATTTTAAAGAAAAATAAAAACAAAAAGTTACAAGTAAATGGGAAACTTAATTAGTACTTTTGTTACTGCATCAAAAGCAATGCCCTTTTTCAAAATTAAAATTTCTAAATTTACCAAAGACACTAAATACTAAGGAACATGATTAAGCATATCAATTTTAATTCTACAATCAATAACAACCACTTAAATAAAACCAATAAAATTGAGACAAACCAACATCTTCTCAAAAATGTTAACTGTGCTTACTTTAACACTACATCAATAACATTTTACACCATTTATGCCATCTTTTTTACACCATTTACACAATCTTTTTTACACCATTTACACCATCTTTTTTACACCATTTACACCATCTTTTTACACCATTTACACAATCTTTTTTACACCATTTACACAATCTTTTTTACACCATTTACACAATCTTTTTTACACCATTTACACAATCTTATTCCAAATAGCAATTTTGACATTGTTCTCATAACAGAAACTTAGTTGAATAAAAAAACACTAGATTCCTTATTGATAAATGGAAACAATTTTAAAATTTTTCAACATGACCGTAACAGCAAAGATGGTGGCACTCTCATATTTATGCAAATTCTCCTCAAAGTACCAGAAGAACTAAAAAATACAGATACTAAATGTGCAACCTGCCTCTCCCCCAAGGACCAAAAGATACAAATTTCATGCATTTACCATCCATCACCCATCAAGCGCAGCCTGCATTTTAAAACCTGTATTTTAAAAATCAAAGCCTTATGTAAGATAACAGGATTATGAGTGATTCTTCATGTATAATAGCAGGTAAATTCAATCTGTCACTCATAAATTGATCTATTTGTAAAAACATGTTTAATGATTGTCTTAAGCCGAGAAAACACGACATAACAACATTTTAGGCCTTTAACTAATCAACAATTACAAAAATGTTCTTAATGTAGAAACTTATTTACAAACACCAGCAACCACTGTAAGATTTTTTTCAATTGTTATTTTAAAAATTCTAAATTTAGTATAAAATCACACTATTATAATTTTCAAAAAGCTGATTACAACACAATACACACAGTAGACGCCAGCGATTTTCAACCTTTTTTAGAAAAATTAATTGTTTCGAGTGGGAGTACCCTAATTAGACCAAAAAATCTATAATGAGCAAAATTTAAAAGTTTCAAGTCTTTCCAATTTTATCTTATTCTAATTTTAATTTTTTACATTTAATTTATTATAAAACTAAAGAGAGTTATAATAATTATAACATCCAATCCTGATACATCCAATTCTGATACATCCAATCCAGATACATCCAATCCTGATACATCCAATCCTGATACATCCAATCCTGATACATCCAATCCTGATACATCCAATCCTGATACATCCAATTCTGATACATCCAATCCTGATACATCCAATCCTGATACATCCAATCCTGATACACCCAATCCTGATACATCCAATCCTGATACATCCAATCCTGATACATCCAATCCTGATACATCCAATCCTGATACATCCAATCCTGATACATCCAATTCTGATACATCCAATCCTGATACATCCAATCCTGATACATCCAATCCTGATACATCCAATCCTGATACATCCTAACTATTAGGGATGTATCGGAAATTTGGCTGAATTTGTGACTTTTAGTTCATTCAAGTTCCGACCAGAATTACAATATTTCAGACCTGAATGCCGAAATTTATTTTTTACCTTTATTTTTTAAGACATTTGACACAGACTGTGTAAAAGAAATTATAAAATCATTGTCCTAGAGAATGAAGAACTATAAATAAACCTAGGTAAAAAATACTTATTTCTAAATGAACACAATCTAATTTTATTTGCAATAATCAATTATGTGAGGATTTCAGGAAGTTAAAGAATATTATGGTGCAAAAAAGTGTTGCTCTCCAGTTTTGGGAAACAATTTTTTTATCAAAAATGTTACCTGCCTCTGAGAATAGTTTCACTTTAAATGTTACTTAAATTTTTAAATAGTTGAAAAGTATAGGATGTCTATTACAGTAAACATTTCATGTATGTATGTATGAAGATATATTATAGGTTATAAATACATATTATATAGCCATGATGCTTTTAATTTTTAAAAATACTTTTTTCATCTGGACAGAATTTTATTTATATTTCGGTACACCCCTAGTTAAAATTAATTTTTAAAAGGAGTGTTGGTTTAAAATATTTTCCCACATAATTTTATGTATAATGAAGCATAAATAATTTATTTTTTAATTTTTATAATTTTTTAAACCTGTTTAGGTCCTCTAAAAATGTGTAGTTTTATTTAAAAGCCATATAATTAGATGAACTTATATAAAAAAAATTAAAAAAAAACAGGGTTGCAACTTATTTGGGTTTAGATAGAGAGTTTTTTTGATACTTTTGTGTTTAGTCAAATAAAAAAAAAATTTTTTTAGTTTGAAAACTTTAACTTAACGCAGAAAAAAAAAAGTCACTGAAATGTTTTAGTTTTGTTTACGTAAACATACTTTTAATGGAAAGTTAGAAAGCTGGAAAGTTTTAGTTATGTTTACGTTTACTTATTTTTAATGATGCATTTCTTTGTAATTCTACAAAAAATGGCATCTTTAAAGTGGTTTATTTATGTTTACATTTCAAACATATTTTTGAAAAAAGATAGCAACTAGTTAACTTTAGATTTTTTCATTTTTGAGTAAACTTTTTTTTTCTCATTTTTATCTATCAATTCCAGCTTGAACCAACTTAATACCAAAAATTGCTGGTACCTAAAAACACACAACCTCATTTAATGTAATTTGGTATATGCAAACAAAGTCAAGATGTTGAATCATTCTGGCAAAATGTTATTTGAACTGATTTATTTCATTACATGTTCCAGTACTTTGCAATAGAAAAAACAATATCCAATTCTAAAGCCTCTAAAAAATGTATTCTCTATAGAAATTACAAAAAAAAACAAAAAAACATGATAATTCATCTATTCATGTCAAATGCAAAAATGGTTCTTGTTTATACAATAAACATAAATATTGCATTCTCAAAAAGAAAGATTTAGTTGATAAAGCCAATATTATACAGCTCTTATTATTTCGTAAAGGAAAAATTTAAATGCTGTAGTTCTGTTGCATGTTTATTCCTACTTGATGGTTCTCTTAGTACTGATGATAGTGAAAAATCATGTTTTCTGGATAATTTTTTTGGTTCTGTTTTTGTTACAGATAATGGTATTGTACCTGTCTTAGATTTGGAGAAATCCAAATTCTTTAAATATCTTAATTTTTTTTTTAATTCTCTTTTCAAAAAGCTTCCATTAAAGTCTTCCAAATCACCTGATGGATACCCAGCAATCTTTTTTAAAATCAACCACAAATGCTATTGCTAATCCTCTTTCTACTCTATTTAAAATGTCAATGTCAAAAACCTGGAAAACTGCTATAGTATGCCTCATCTTTAAGAAAGGAAATCCATCTTTAACCAAAAGACCTAGTTCTATGACATGCATTGTTTGTAAAGTTATGGAGTCAATAATTGCTTAACAAACTATTTACTGTTCAATAAATTTATTTCAGTTCATATGTTCGACTTTTTAATGTGTAGGTCCACCTGTACACAGATGTTGATAGCCTTAAATAATTGGACCACTGTTGCCAATAACAAAAAAATTGTTGATATTGTATATATAGACTTTAAGGAAGCTTTTGATTCTGAGACTGACTCTAAGTTACTGTTCAAATTGCATTTCTATGGTATTAAGTACAAATTGCTAAACTGGATTACAAACTTTTTAACAAATTGTTCTCAATGTGTTTGAGTGGATAACTAATATTCAAAAAAATTCTTGTAAAGAGTGGAATACCTTAAGGGATGAGTCAGAAATCAAGAGATGAGGAATGAGTCCCTTCTTCATGTATCAATGGAGATTGTTGAAGACATTAAGCTGTTTGAGAATGACAGAGTTGTATCAAGCTAGAGACAAGGAAAACAACACACACCTCATCAATACCTTAAAAATTTTCAGAAAATTCAAATACTTGGCATTCTAAAATAGCAATCAAAAATTATTTTATCTTTCTTATGGAAATAGTCCTTTACCATTACATTCAAACTTATTGAACATAGAAACACCTATCAAATCTATTAAATTTTATTCAAGATTTTGTTATAATTGTGTCTTCAAACATGAAGTTTTCCAATCCTTGTTCTTTTATTGCAAGCAGGCACACTTTCATACTTTTAAAATCTTTTACAGGTAAAAATTCCCAACTTTTTAATAAAATCTTATTAAGTTTATGTTTGACCTATATTAGAATTTGTACATCAGTGTGGAATCCCTACCTTTTAAAAGATATGTGTTTGAAAGAAAAGGTTCAGTAATATTTTACTAGAATTTTCTGTAAAAGAAGTATTTCTTTTAAAAATTTAAAACCTTGATAAAAACAATAATCTTTAATCTCTCAAATGCTGTAGAATATAATTTGACTTTATAATGACATACAAAATTATACACAATCTTGTCAATCTACCTTTTCCTGAGTTTTTTATGACTTGCACGTTTTCACTGTTCTACAAGATGTAATAACACATGGAGATTTTTATTTTACAAAAAAAATAAGTTATGGAATCTTCCTGATTATACTGTTTAGTCCACCACCTTGTCTTTGTTCAAGTAAAATTTAAAAAGTACAATGCTCATCACCACTGCGCACTACATCAAATTATTTTTTTCCGTGTTGCATATGAGTAATTTTGATATTACCTTCTGCATTTTTTTCTTTAAATGCAAATAAATTAGATTTATGTAGAGTCAGAATGGTGTATTACCAAAGTATCACCTTTTTGAGCATTTCTATTTCTGTGTGTGATATTTTATTTTTCTTTGTTTTAACAATTAGAAGCTGAGACTTGAAGAAATATGCAAACTATTATGATTTTCTATAAGAACAATTATAACAAAAAACTTTTTAATCATATTTTAGGCTACCGGAATAAGTTTTATATATTATATATATATATATATATATATATATATATATATATATATATATATATATATATATATATATATATATATATATATATATATATATATATATATATATATATTATTCTATTAGTGTTGTAACAGTTTGAAAAATATACAATAATTTTTAAAACGCTATATTTTAACTAGAAATATCTAACGATTGCATTTTTCTCATCAAAAATATATTTAATACAAGTTGTAGAAATGTAATTCACTTGGAATTCTCACAATTTATTTTCATAAAAACTACTACGAGAAATCAATAAATTCACAACTTCTATGCATAATCAGTCATGAACATTTAAACGATTGCTGTGATTCAATTATACAAAGAGCAACCCTGAAACTTTCTGGAAAAAAATTTTACAGTTTAAAATATAATTAAAAAAAAAAAGTATACTGCTGAAACTTTTATTTCCTCTTCAAACTTAATTTATTCTTTGATAATATTACTAATGCATACCTCTCTTTGTTTACAAAATATTTATATAGATTAGAATTAACCAGAGTAAATTGGAGATTTGGAGTTTTATTTTTATTAAAATAATAAACAAAATATTTACAAGTTTCTTTACATAATTTTTTAGAAATGTCTTTCTGTATTTTTTATTTTAATACAAATGAATCAGATAATAATAAAAATTAAAATGATTAAATAAAAATTTCTTAAAAATTATTTTAAAAATGTCTTAAAAATTATTAAATTCAAAATTAAATCATTCTAAAATGACTTTATTTTACAAATATTTTATTTAACTAGATATTGTTAACTAGAAAACAACAAACTATCATTTTTCTAGTTAACAATATCATTTTTAAATTGAAAATACCTACCTATGCCAAAAAGGTAATCTTGTAAACATATGCATCCAGAATTTAATTGCTAAATGTGCATCAGAATAGTCTCTTGATTTAAGAATATGCGATGTGACCAATGATACAAATGTTTGACTGTAGTTACCAACCACAAAATACTGCCATAGCTTTTCAGTATATCCAGCACAACCAACATCAATATGAATTGAACACAATAAAAGTTTCAAGTAGCTAAAAAATTTATTAAATTCAATAAAATCTTTAAGTGTGTTTAAGTACTATAAAAGTATACTATATATATATATATATATATATATATATATATATATATATATATATATATATATATATATATATATATATATATATATATATATATATATATATATATATATATATATATATCTGTAACTCTTTTTTTTTTCAAATATTGTTGTTTTTAAGCATTGGATCTTTTGCTACAACCATCACGGTTATGACTGTCACGACAGAAAAAACATAAAAATTCTTGTAAAACTTCAAGTAAAAACTATGAAACTCATATAATAATACTATATGTGTTAAATACACACACCAAATGATTTTTTTATCATGCTGTTTGCTGCATTTAGCCTAAAAAATTTGATTTGTTCACAAGTGGTAAAAAGTAAGCGTTACAATCATCACGTTATGTAGAGTTAATTTTTTAAAAAAATTGAAGACTTAAATGCTTGAACTTTTACATACTAAGTTGTACAGTAGTATTTCACTTTTCTGAAAAGTTTTAATTCATTTCCATTTTCGGTTTGGTTTTAATAGCTTAAAGAGTGTCAAATGTTTTGACCAACACTCTTGCGGAATTACCCATATATATAAATATATATATATATATATATATATATATATATATATATATATATATATATATATATATATATATATATATATATATATATATATATATATATATATATATATATATATATATATATATATATATATATATATATATATACTCCTATTCAGCATTTACAGGGACATTTTATTTTACGTTGTGTCTAGCGCAACAATACCGTTGTTTTATTTTTTTATTTTTAAGTCACGGTAGTAAAGTTTGATTGGTTCATTTTAAGTCATGGCTGCAAATATGATTGGTTGATTTTGAAAGTTTTATTTGTACAAATTAAAAAAGAACTGCAACTATAATATGTGCAATTAGTATCATGGTATCTCAATTGTTTATTACACACGGAGTTCCGGGATTGAGTTGTACATTCTAAAAGATATTTTTTAACAATTTTTTCATTAAAAGTTATTAAAAAAATCAACCAATCAGAAATCACTACCGTGGCTTTAGGAAAAAATTGAAGCGACAGTACCTTTTTTTCACTAAACAACTGAGTTTAGTGAAAAAAACAATTGAGTTTAGGTTTTTGAAAAAATAAAAATTTAAAGACCAAAAGCATTTCCAGATATTGCAATTAGCAATCACTTAATTCAAGCCTTGAAAAATATCTGAAACTTTTAACTTGTTCTTTAAATCAATCCTGATTACAAATTATATTTTTTATTCCATGTAAACTTCTGTAAATATTTAAAAATACTAAGTGTTTATTAGCCTGATAAAAATGAAGTACTATTTTATGTTCTCTAATGAATGGTTTTGGTTATATAGGTTTCCCATCTGAACACCATTCCAACTATTGCTCTTAAACATTTTACTATTAAAATTTTTACTTTCTTAATCTGTTTAATCTTTCTATCATTACCGGATTCTTAATATTTTTAAACTTGCATCTGTGATACCAATCCATAAAAAAAACTCTAAACTTGACTGCAAAAACTGCAGAACATTATCAATATTATCAAATATCAGTAAACATCTTAAAAAATTTATTCCGGTATCTATGACTTTCTTAACAATTCTTAATGTTTACATAAAAGCTTCGGATTTCAAATCTTTTATGCTCTTATAAAGATTACTAAATTGATTTGCAATTGAAAATAATTCTTTTGTTTGTGGCACATTAATTGGTTCCAAAAAACAATTAATATGGTTGATCACATGATTCTTATTTAAAAGTTGCATTTCTATGGCAAAATTATACTCAGTATGTATCAGCTAATGGTTTTGAACCCACAAAAAAGTTGTCAAATACGGTGTTCTGCAGGGTTCTGCAGGTGTTCCACAGAGTTCTGTTCTTGAGCCTTTACTCTTTTTAATATTAATGATTTATCTAATTCCACTGTATCATTTTGCTGACAACAAAAGTTTTTTTTTTTGTTGAGTATTTCTCAGAACAGCAGAGGTATTCTCCCAAGCTTTTGTCTATACTTTCAAAACTATTTAACAAGTGCGTATGAGAGTCTTGTTTTCCAACCTGATGGAAAGCAGACTGGAAAGAAAGCTGAAAACATTAGTATAGGGCCAAATATCCTTGGTCATATACTTTTTTACATTACCTTAATTGGTTTTAAAAAAATCTGCCAGAAATTAAAGAATTTCTGGCATGTTGTTTAATTTACATTAATGATCTGCCAGAAATTTTTACATTAAAGATGGCATTTTTTGCTGATGATCTTACCATTTATTATTGTCTTGATAAGAAGTATCCAAAACTCTCTGATTGCTTGAAGGAGCATTTGAGCTTGAAAAGTATTCACTGAAAAGTAACACACTGCTATAGCATGGGGCTCCCAATGGCTGGCGAATTTTAACTCAGATAAAACCCAATTTTTTTCAGTTCATTTTATGGTTAATATAACAATCTAAATCTTCCTATATTTATGAACAGCTACGTACTTGATGAGTCATCTACCCTTTATAATGGCCGCTTCTCTAAAGAGCTTACATCTTTTGTACCATCTACTAAAATTCATTCTTGTGTTACTTGTCATTCAATTGAGTCTAATCCTTTTACTGTGACTGTTCCTATGTGCTCCAAAAATTCTTTTTTGTCTAGCTTTTTACCTTGAACATCAGTTCTTTAGAATTCACTCCCTTTTTCTTGTTTTACTGATTCATATAATTTGCAATCTTTTAAGTTTTCTGTTAACAGTTATCTTGCTTTATAAAAGGAATATAATTGAAAATAAAAGTAAAAAATGATATTCAAAATTACAGTAAATATTAACTATGGTACTAACAAAAAATATAGATAAAAGAAAATATTAGTAATAAGAATAAGATAAGTAAAAATAATAATCAATATAATAACATAATAAAGAAATAATAATAGATATAAATAATATTCTTTAATTAAATACTCAAAGAAATTTTTTTAAAGTTTGGTTTCTGTTTAAAAGTACAAAGCTATTAACAAGAGTCTTTAAATTTTTTTAACCTTTTTTATACAAATGGTATTAATTGGTTCTAATAATAAATGCATATAGATATAGAAGATATAGAAATATTAGATATAGAAGCTGTCTATATCTAATATTTCTATATTAAATGTTGTCTTGATAATGCACACCAAAAGTACAAACAGGTACATCATCCATGCATAATACGACACTGTTAATACTCTGATATTTTACAGCTATTTTACAGCTTTTTAAAGTTATTTTAAAGTTCAATAAACCTGACTACCAGCCAGCTTTAGAACCATAAAACTAATTTTTAGAGCTGTACTCTCATTAGGAGATAATAGAATGAGTTACCATAGTTACCATAGTTAGTCATAAAAACAGACACAAGCAAAACCCTTGCAATGAGTCAAGATACAGCATACAACATCCTAAACTCGGATCAATTATTATAAATACATCTACACCAGCCAAATAGATGAAGAAGAGGCATGTAGCTGGTCAACAGATAGAATCTGGTTACCTTTTAAAAAATTACATTTTAATTTAATAATGTATGTATGTAAGTTTGTAAAACTTTGTACAAAGAATTAGATAAAAACAATAAATAAATAGTAATAATAGTAAATAGATAAAGAATAGAATAAGATAATAAACTTTTATTAATGAAAAAAAGTACAAACCTATCAGTAGCTAGTCTATCTGGATGTTGAACAAAAAGTACAGATAAGTTACTGATGATTCTAATAACAGCATCATATTCATTTGCATAGCTTAATTGCAACAAGTATGGCATACCTTTTGATATAAAAACATCTAACCTAAATGTTTTCAGAAAGGAAATAAAATTAAAGCAAACAATAGCAATAAACTAATTTCATGGATGAACTAATAATGTAATTACAATGGATAAACTAACAATCATGAGAGGCATTTTATAAAATGACAAATAAAACAGATGCCATGTGTAAAATGATAATAAACATGAATGCTGTGGATGAACTGAAAATGAATATTATAAACTAACAGCATGAAAAAAATGTTTTAACAGAAATAAATAAATACTTTATAAAAGTTTAATAACATACAGATGTCCATATTTAGTCATTGCAAAAATAACATATGATGCTAACAAGCCTTGACTTTCGGAAGCACGCAATACATTTAAAAGTACAGGAGTAGTCTGTATATCAAAATCATAAGGGTATTTATTTTCAAGATGTTGAATAATATTATTGGCCCATGTTGAACAATCTAAAATAAAAAACTTTTTAAATAAACTTATTGGTTTATTTTCAAGATATTGGATAATATTATTGGCTCATGTTGAACAAACTAAAATAAAAAATCTTTTAAAATAATCTTATTGGTTTATTTTCATTAAATAATTTTATTGGTTAATTACTGAAAATTTCATGGTTAAGGTCAGGAATATTGTTAAATCAAGAAACACTAAAATATTTAAAACTTCTTTTGTTATGGCTTTCTTGCCAAGACAAGTATCAAATACTTTACAAGTATTAAATAAATTTCACAGTGCAAAAAAACTTGGCATTGTAAAAATGTATAAAGTTTTTTACTTACTTTGATCGTATAAGTTCTCATCTTGCATTGTTGTATTCAACATATCGCTCTCATGCAGCTTTAACATTAGCATTACTTTCCATGCCCATTTATAAAATTCTGAATGCACTTGATAATAGACCACTTTGTTATATGACAATATTGCTATTCGGCTAACCTAAAATTATTTCAATTTATAAAACTCAAAACTCCATTTAAAAATAACTTTTTAAGTTATTTTTAAATGGAGTTTTGAAATTTCTTTTAAAGCTACCTGCTCTAAAATTCCCATCGATGAATAATTTAACTGCTGCATTCCACCAGGGTTATTGGGAAATAAAATTCCATATATCTCAACAATTAGAATTGCAACTAAGTAGTGATATGAACGTGGTAAAAACAATGTGTTGTCTACCTTTTATTTAATAACAATAAGTAATACAATTAGTACAATATTATTATTATATTTTTAAGATAAAAAACTTAAATTTATTAAAAAAAAATAATTTTAAACCTGTCCAATTCCATAATTAATACCCGACAACAAAATTCTTGCCACTTTACTTTCAGTTGAAGTTATTGGTGAATCCAGTAACCAAGTTCGAATTATATCAAAATCAGTAATTTGAGGAAACCATAAGTACAAATGAAGAGAGTGAAAGATATTTACTAGATGCTTCACAAAAAAAGAAAATTTAATTCTACACAAATAAAGATGAGATATAACAATATCATTAAAATCATTAACTATTAAAACATTGCTTGCAAATATTTAATAATTATATAGAACTAAATAAATATAAATAGTGTATATATATATATATATATATATATATATATATATATATATATATATATATATATATATATATATATATATATATATACACACACACACACAAAAATAACGGTTTCCTATAACGAAGTCATTAAAACTTGATGATGTTCTAAAGCCTGATGATGATGACATCATCAGGCTTTAGTCTTCTTCTTTTATGCTGTTTCTCTAATCATGGTCAATGCTCAAACAAGCTATCTCTATTACAATTAACCAAAACTCATTCTTGCTTAACTTCTTATTCAACAAGTTGCATACTTATACTGTATCTGTCCCTATGTATTAAATACTAGCATAAATATATGCCAGAATTTAATAAATAGTAAATGTAAGTATAAAATCACAATATATAAAGAATTATAAATTAATTTCTAGCCCCGCCTATCAACCATTGCTAAATCTTATAATTTTAGCCGGGGACCCGGCTAAAAATGTAAAATGAACATCTCTAACTCATGCGTCTGATCTTATTACCTCTCCCAAGGACAAAAACTATTTGTAAAGAACTTTTCCTTTAATTCGATTCTTGAATCTAATGACCATACTCTTCCTGTTATGTAAGCTAAACAGGTTAACCCATTGTTAGGCATTCAAATCCATACAGGTTCTGTTGCTAAAGTCATTTCTCAATTAAACTCTTTTACGGCTTCTAGTCTAGACATTTCTGTCAAAGTCTTACCAAAGTGTTTTTAAAATTATCTTTAAGTCTCTCAAAACTATTTTATAAGTACTTGACTGGATCTTGTTTTTCTTGTTATTCTCTCTAAAATCTTGAATCTAATAACTCACTATCTGTCAATTGATACAGTTTTTGATCTTCTTGTTCTATGGTTGACTTGCTAATTGCTGTAACTGAAAGATTCTATTTTGCATTAGATGGGGACGGTAAGGCAAGAGCTATTGCTCTTGATATATAAAATGCTTATTTAGAATTAGTTTAAATATAGAAAGTATTTTACCTCCACTATTAGTCAATGCAGATGCTGAAACCTCTTCATTAGGCATCATAATTCAGTATGTCATCAATGACATTTCATGCACAGGTAAATGTGCATGAAATATAATAAACTAAATACCATTGTCCTTGCACTAATCCACTACACTAATATATTTTAAAGACCTTAATTTTAATATATTTTGCAAACCTTAATAGTTTGGATTTTTAATGCAAAAAAATTAAACAAAAATGTTTTAAAAAACTTTTTTTAATTTTCCGATTTCATTACAACCCATAATTAAATTGCAACCCTTTTAAATAATACTTACTAATTTAAATGTTTAAAAGGAAAGGCAAAAACACAATTAATTTAATTATAAGCATTTACTAAGAAAACCTTAGATAAAACAATTAGAATAACATATCCTAACCTCATCAAGCTGTTTTAACATTTTGGAGGTCATCACAATTAAAAAAGAAGTTATAAATGGATGCTTATTTGAGATCAATGAAAGCATGTCAAGTCCATTTTTTGCATAAAGTTTATCAACAGTAGGATTCAAGAAAGAGAGCTAGAATTAAAATAACAACAAATAATAAAACAATGATATATCAATTTAGAATAATAAGTTATTGTTTATAAATAGGGAAAAATAAAAAAAGGAAAAACAATGTACTTCTACAATGAGCTTCACACAAGCTTCCACAAGTGTTTTGTCATTTTTTGTGCGTGAAAGAGCAATGTTTGAAATTGCTGTCTGTAAAAAAATACAGTCAGTAGGAGAAATTTCCAAAGTAACAATGCTTGGAAGATCCAAAATGCTGCTTGACTTGATGATTTCAGTCATTGTCTGCTGACTAATCAACATATGCAGCAACATCCATATTGCAGATGAGGAGATAGCATCAAAAGGCATTGTAGAAAGAAATTGCATTGATCCATTACTACTTTTTAAGATATTAAACAACAATTATACTAATTATTCCAGTTATAAATTATATAAAAATAATTACAATAAAAGATTACAAAGAAACAAAGGAACAACAAACCATTTAGATGAAACTATTATATTAAAAGTTCGAAGCATGAACTGGTCAAACTCTAACTGTAATCGTAATAAGTTAAATCCAGATGTTTCAGACATTTTTGGGAAATCTTCAAGATTGTCTCCAATAACTTCTGTTCGATATTTATAATAAGCTACCCATTGGTCAGAAACAATTTGCGCTATAAGCCTATAAATTTTAAACAAATTAGTTACAATGGAGAATTACAATAGGGAATTATATTACTAATGTTTATTCATGTTTTTTACTAATACAAGAATATGGCAGTGGTATAGTGATAGAGTGTTCGCCTTGTTTATTATATATGAGTTTAACTTAAATACTCAAATTATATAAAAGTATAAAAAAATTATAAGAAAAAGATTCAACCTTATTGTTCGTGAAACATGCTTGATGAACTGTCTATATCGCAATAAATTGTATGTCTCAAAAATTTGTGCTAACAATTTGATCATGAGTGAGGAGAATGCAAACAAACTCAAAATGTCCCTACTTAAAGTTGAAGTAGGCAAATGGCTTATTTCATCTAAATAATAAATCTCTAATAATAATTATGTACAAAAAATACTAAAAATAAATTGATTTTAAAATTATAATTTTTATTTTTTTTTTTATAATTTATTTATATAATTGTAAATTATTTATATAATTTATATTATTTATATAATTTTTATTTTTTTTTTTATAATTTATTTATATAATTGTATTAATTTATTTAAATTTAAACATCCTATTATTATTATAATTGTATTATTTGTTTAATTTTATATAATTGTATTAACTATAATTCAAAATAATTAAACTTCTACTGATCTTCACTATAAATGATTTTTTCTTATATAACTTACAAACTTTTTTGTGACTTTTTTTTTATAACTTATAAACTTTTTTATAAATAAAAATTTTTCAACTAATAAATGCTTTAAAAATTTTTCATGGAAATTTATAAATTATATAATTTTTGTAATTTGTTTTTTGCATTAAAAAATAGGTGAATATGATAATTGATTGCTGACTAGTTTATTAAAGTTTACAAAATAGAATACAAAAACTTATTACACTAAGTAAATATAAATTTTAGAAACAAAATCATTTTATTATTTTAAAATTTTTTAATTGTTGAGTTGATTTAGCTTGAGATAAGAACTTTTGCAATTTTACTTCGTGCAGCAAAACTTAGATTTGATTTGCAGGAACCTGTTATTTTAAAGTACTTAAGCTTTTTACATTTTAACATTCATGGCTTATTTTATATTTCGCAATAATGTTGTTTCAAAAACAAAGGAGTGTTATAGTGAAATTAATGTCAAAACCAGTGCAAAACTTATTATATCAGAACAGGTTAATAAAACAGAAAACTTAAACTTACTAATTCTGTCCGCTTCTTAAAATGAAAAAAATAAAAAAAGTACTGAATGCAGTATAGAAAATGATATTTTAAAACTTTCCATTTTTATTGCCAATATTCGATATTATATAAACTCAAAGTCATTAAATTAGAATACAAGATATTGTTGAGTTGAAAAAAAGTATTTGCTCTGAACCTGATTTTATTTATTTTTTTTCAACACATGTTAAAAAACCAAAAAACCAAAAATGAAATTTGAACCAATATCATTTCACATTTACTTGGTTAGCATATTCACCAATATAATCTTTTTTCTTTTTAATAACACAGGAGGATTGAGAAATACTGAACCTTTAAAAAAACTAGTTACTGTACTAATAAACAATTTTGCTAAACTACCAGAAAAAGATAGCAATTTAGAATTCTATTAAATAGTTTATAGCATAAAAATGCAGTTTTTAAAGCTGAAAAGCTTTTGTCTTGTTATAAGCACCCTGAAAAAGAAGTTATTAATATGATTGATAGTGAAGAAAATGTCAATTACTAGAATAAAAAGAAAAAATTAGATCTATTATTGAATCAATAATTATTTTGGCAACAATATTTACCAAAAAAAAAACATTCTTCTAAGAGGACATAGGGATGATGAAAATTTATTAACTGTGGCGAATTCAAAAATATGTTAATAATGAAGGGAACAGATTTCAAATAAAACTTAATGATAAGATTCTAGAAATCATCTGAAAATAACTCATGCTAAAGCATATATAAGTAATACTCTTTAAGAAGAAATAATAGAATGCTGCAAAGGAGAAATTATTTATAAAACATTACCAGATATTAAATGAAATAAGTATTAAAATAAACAAATATTATCTCAAATGACACTAACTGTAAAATATATTTTTTCTCATTCATCAACTGCCACACATAATTTTATAATATCCAAAAGTCAATGCCAGAGAAACGTATCAATGAAATTAAAGATTGTATAGAAAGTTATTTGATAAAGAAAAACACTCTTTAGAGCAGCGCCCATTATTTTATTAATAGAAAAGAGAAAAAGCAGCAACATTACAATGATGCGACAACAGTTGATTGAGTTTCCAAGTTTCCAAGAAAGATCAGAAGTAAGAGTTAATCCTAGAAGACAAAGGATAGATGACTTATCCAGTACATTACCGTTCATAAATATAGGAAGATCTAGATTGTTGCGATAACAATTAACTGAAAAAATTGAGTTTTATTAGAGTTTATGTTCACTAGCCAATAAGACCCCATGATGTAGCAACAATGATATCTTTTTTAAGCTCAAATGTCCCCTCAAAGCAATCAGAGAAAGTTGGCTACTTATCAAGACAAGAGTATTTGGTAGTATCATTAGCAACCAACTCCACTTTAGACGTGAGAATTTCTGGAAGATTGTTAGAATAAATTAAAAAGTTATAGGGCCAACGATAGAACCTTGAGAAACCCTTGAAGTTACAGGATATGAAGAAGAGAGCTGTCCATCAAGAACAAATTTTATACTATGATTGGTAAAGAACAATTCAATAATCTTAAAGATGTTACCTGATACACCATAAAAAAAAAGCTTATGAAGAAGAACAGTATGCCAAACTTTATCGGAGACTTTATATATGTTTAGAATCTTGGCTTCTCCAAATCTATCTAACGCACAATAAAAACCTATCAGTTATTACTGTTAACAAATCAGCGGTAGAACAAGATCAAAATCCATATTGATGATCAGAAAGTAAGTTATTAGATTCAAGATGAGAGATTTAGTTTTTGTTAATTAAAGACCTTAAAATCCTTGCTTATGATAGTAAGAAGATTAATAGGACAACAGTAGTTAGACGAGTCAGATTGCTCTCCAGAATTTTTGAAAATAGGAATAACAGATGCCGGTTTCCAGCAAGCTGGAAAACAAGATTCTAATAAGTACTTGTTAAATAATTTTGAAAGTACAGACAACAGGCGGAGCACACTTCTTCAAAACTATAAAAGTATGTTATCCGGACCACAAACTGTAGAGGTGTCTAAGTAGGAAAACACTATAGGTACAGAAGCTGGAGTGATATGAATATCAGGTAATGGATCAACCTAATTTTTGAGATGATATACAAGATTTTTTAAACCTGAGAATAGCAAACTTCAGCATTAGACAAAACCTTTTTACAATGGTTTCTAGCAATAGTAAATACACATCTGTTTTCTGGAGAATTTTTTTGGTGATAGATATGGAAGTAATGATATATGTTAATGAATTATGGAGAAGAAGTTTGACTTGGAATCACTAAGAAGGAATAAGAGATTCCATGCCAGCCTAAATCTAAGAAGTTACATAAGAAGCACATTAGTCAGCAGGAATACAAAAGATTTCTACACAAGGACCATCACAAAGAAAATCACAGAAAGAATTCCTGTCAGCTTTAAGGTAGTTGTAGGAGGTACAATAGATAGAAGGATTCTGATGATGAAAAAGAATAAGATTTTTAATAGTTTTACAGAGGTCAAACTGTGATCAGAAATATGAAAGGGTATTTGTGAAGAAACTGAGCACCGATTTGGATCAGAAACAAGATGCAAGTCAAGTAGAGAAGCTAAATGATTGGAATTGTCAGGAAAGTGAGTTGGAAAGTTGACTATTTGTGTTAGAGATTGAGAAAGGCAAAAGCTGTGGGCCTGAACACTTAACACCGAGTCACTGATATTACACCCAAACCATTCAGTGTGATGAGCATTAAAGCACCAAAAACAACGTTGTGATGAGCATTAAAGCACCAACAAAGTCTGGTAAACTTTGCAAGAGATAAGACACAACAGGAGAAAGGTTATTTTAAAGACCACAAGTATTAGTGAATGATAGATTAGAGAACTTGGTGATGACAATGGTTCTTTGTGTTTTATAGTTTTTGAAACTTTAGTCATTTTTCAAATTAATTAAAGAACTAGACTCAAAGCACTGATTGTACTCAGTATACTATCTAATTGACAAGCTATTGCCTTATTACTATTAATAAACTCTAAGCTGTTACAAAGAGCTCCAAATGTGGCCTCAATAATGCACATTAGAAGTATTAACAGGGACACCATCCATGCAAAACACGGCACTGTTAATACTCTGATATTGTACAATTGTTTATGGAACCAGTCTCTCTGAGAGCTACCACAGAGTTTGGAAAACCTGACTAGCAGCCAGCTTCAGAACCATTAAACTGAGTTTTAGAACAGTTTATTTATCAATATTCCTTATTTTACTTGCTGTTATTCCTCCTCATTAGAAGATAATAAAATGAGTTGCCTAGTCATAAAAACAGAAATGTTAGCAATACCCATGAGTTAAGAAGATCCAGCATTCAACATCCTAAACTACAAACAAGTTTTTAAATATATCTATATCAGCCTAATAGATTAAGAAGAGGTACAAAGCTGTTTAACAGATAGTTAATCTTATAAGATAGATAATCTTTACCTTAAAAATCTACCTTAAATCTTTACTTTCTACAAGACTGAATGCATTTCACATCTGCCCAAGATATGTACTTTTATCTAGACAGCATCTCTAACTATTACTTGACCAAGACTTAACACACTTAACCTGACTTAACACACCCCCTACCAAGGTAAGTGTTTTAAGTCAGAGTTGGCATCTCCTAGCCTTTGCCTAAAAAGGTGTATCTTACAAGGCAGCAGGGCATGAAAAAGATTATACTGGGCTAAATGTTACCAGTAATATGACAATCTGCAAAGCTTGACATTAGCACTACTTGTCAAAACTTTTCCCTTTATAATTTTTAATGTTAAAAACAACAAAAATTAAATTTAAAAAAAAAATCAAATAAAGATGTTACTCTGGGCTGGAGTAACTAACCACTACTAATTTATAAATTAAATAAAATTAAAATTTTTATCAAAATACTTTATAATAGAAGTTTTTTTTTCTCACTAAATTTTTTTTTTACCTTGTGTGGAATTGATATTCAGTAATGATAAAAATAAGTCACTGAAAGGAAATTGATCAAACATAGCAATTAGATCTTGCTCAGTTATAAGGCTCCAGCTATCATCGTGGTTTTCATCCTAAAAAACACAAAGACAAATTAACTGAGAATACACATTTTAACAAATAATTTATAAAAATATGTATGTATGTTAACTATCATCTATTTTATTGCACAAGATAAACACAGTAGTTACAAAAAAAAAGGTTGCCTAAAGTGATAAATATTAAAATTTATTAATATATTAAGTATATGGCAATTTAACTTTTATTTTTTTTGTAATTGGTTTACATACATTTTTCATAATCAACATATCACAACATTCCTTCTTATTGTTGTTTTCATTATTTAGTGACATGTTGCACATAATTCATAATACCCGAAGTTTTAACACTTCAAAATCTGATTTTTAAGAAAAAGAGTATAAGTATATTGGGAAATCAAAAGAAAAATTTTAAACTTAGTAATAATACTAGTACTTAACTTGATCATTTTATTCTTAGCTTATTTTAGATTTTCAATATATGCATAATTTCAAAATACTTGTTTTGCAAACAAATTATATCAGTTGATTTTAAATAAACATCATCATATTTTAATGATTCTAATGCTCGAAGTGACAACAAATATTATTGATGTAAAAAAGTTTTTCAAAATTGTAATATGTATCCATTTTTGTTATTTGCTTTTAAATGACCGAAAATACAAGATAACCTTTTTAACCTTAAGGATTAACCTTAGGCAATTTTACAGTATACAAAATATATCATTAAAATATGATGATAAATATCTATTTATAAATCTATACTACATATATATATATATATATATATATATATATATATATATATATATATATATATATATATATATATATATATATTTTATATATATATATATATATATATATATATATATATATATATATATATATATATATATATATATATATATATATATATATATATATACATGAGTCAGTGATAGGTCTTCGCAATGGGCGGTCGCGTTTTTTTAACAATAAAAGAGAAAAAGAGAAATATAAAATATAAAGATTAAAGTTAAAACTAAATTGTAATAACAAGTAAATAATTATTAATTTTATATGCATAAATAATTCCTTAACAATCTTAAAATTATCTTTAAACAAACCCACATAAAAAGTCATACAAAAAGGAAGTTAAAAAAAAGAGAAAAAAAAGAACTTAAATTAAAAAAAAAACTTAAATTAAAAAAACTTAAAAAAAAAAAGAACACTTATTAAACTTATTAAAAGAAAACAAAAGAAAACAAAAGAACCAAATTGAAGTAAACAAATAAATAAAAAATATATACTTGTTATTATTATTTTTATTATTATATATCTATATAGTTTGTTAACTTAATTACTTTAGTTTTAGTTTTACTTATTAATTTATAATACTAAGGTATAAACTTTATCGTTCATTATTATATATTTTCACTTATTATAACTAGAAAATTTTACTTATATTCATTCATAATTTTATATTAATTGAATTTTTATTTATTTTATTTTATACTTGTAACTTATAATTTAACTAATTATAACTTATTTTTAATATATATTTACTTATTCTTCTCTAACTTTATTTATAGTACTTTTTTCATTATTTGTTTTAATTGTTAAATAAATATTTATTTTATTTTATTATTTTATTAATTGAATTATAATTATATTATTAATAAATACTATTATTATTTTTATTTTTTTTGGTTATATTGAAGTTCAGATTACTGTTTGTTTCCTTATTTCATTTCAATCATTTCACTTTATAAACTGTACTACTTAAACGTCTACTCACTACAAAGATTGTTTTAAGAAAATTAATAAAAACCATCACTACCTTCAATGTAATCATTGCCTAAACCTTTTTCATAAAAAATGCTGTCGTCTGAATGATATGGAATTTAGGATATTGAAAAACTCTAAAACATTTTGGCTCTGTATTTTATGTAGGAAATATGTTTTTCCGTTTAGTTCTTTATCTGATAAGGAGCTGCGCCTGCAAAAAGTAAATGATGAAGTGATTCATATTAATGAAATCGCAAACAATATACCATTTTTTGGAAACACCATAGAGTCTAATCTTTATAATGAACTTAATGATTTCATTTCCCATCAACTTAATAACAACAATGACAATGACGTAAACCTCAAAGAAAACCCTATTAATTGTAAATATATGGACATAAAATGTTTCAATTCTGCCAACATCTACAAAAATAGTTTTTTTGTTTTTCATTTAAATATTGCTTCTCTTGTTAAAAATTTTATTAAAAATATATATATATATATTTTTAATGCTTTTTGTTTCTTTTTTTTTTTTTTTTTTTTTTTTTGTATTTCTTTATTTCTTTTTTTTTCCGAGAATTTTATGTTTTTTATGTGTCACTACATTGACTAGTTGGTAACTATATGAGTGACAGCTAACCTAATTCTATTAATTTACGATGAGATTTGTAAACTTTTATTGATATAGTTAAATAAAAAAAGTGCATAAGACCTTGTTTTAAAGCGTGAATGGCGTACCATTTACATATTGATGAAGCCATTTAACATAAGGGGTATGGAATTTCAGTCAAGCCTTTTTTTAACAATTTTTAATATTTAAACGAGTCTAAAGATATCGTTTAGGCGGTAAGATAAAAAAAAAGTAATTAACTTTATAAAAACCATTTATTAGAATTTTTATTTTAATTATTTTTACATAATCTTTATTCAAACTTAGTTTAAATGACAATTACGTAAAAAAACTTAAATGACAATTACATTTAAGCGCTATTTACAAAAGAAAAAACAAAGAAATTTTTATTTTTATTAACCATCAAAAATGTTCAGCAAAAAAAAAAAAAAAAGTCATGACATGTAAAAAAAGAAATATAATATATAAAAAACTTTTCTTTATCATCTTGCAAGAGCAAGAATATGTATTTAGACAATTTCTTATAACAAACAATAAAAAAAAAAATTCTGAATTTAAAAAAATAATAATAAAAGACAAAACAAAAAAATATTATAATAAATAGTGCACATTAAACTTTATTTTATAAAAATTAATTAACATACTTTAATTATGTGGTAGTCGTGTAGTGATAGAGCGCTCGCTTCATAAAAAAGAAGTTCTGAATTCGATCCCCACCACGCCCCTGGTAGTACCGTGCTCTTGTTTCTCTGTGCAGCGACGTTATTAGTCAAGGTTCGTGTTTTAGAGTTAAAAAGTCAAGAGAAGGCTATAACCACAATTAAGTAGCCTCCTCATCTATAGTGGCCTTGTCGGCCTTGGGAATCTGAATTAACATTAAAAAAAATTCATTTATACAATAATAGAGCAAAGAAAGAAATTAATTTGTTAAATGACAATAAAAAATCTAATAATAAACTTATTTATCTAATATTAAAAAACAAAAAAATTGAAACAAAATAGACATTTCACAATATGTATATTTCCTAAATGACACTTCTAGATTTGTTTTTCTTAATAAATTAAACTTGTTTTGGAGTAACTTTATTGTGGTATATTACAGTATATTTTATTATGGTAGTTTAAAAAAGTGTCCATAAACAAAATAAAAAAATAAAGATAATTTTATGACGTCAAAATCACAACTAGCTAATATGCTAAGCCACTTTTATTTAAAACAAAGCCTGAGTACACAAAACAAAAATAAAATCCCATTGTATAAAAGTATTTTTTGACAAAACTCAAAACAATTATTTGAATAAAATTATAGAGAAAATACAATTAGTTATGCCTGGCAAAATCAATTATTGATAAAACTTTTATTTTGTCCCTTTTTTTAAGCCATTAAACTTTTACATAATAAAATGTAAAAGCAATTAACTTTATCATTAAAGTACCTCATAGCTATCTTCATCAACTAGAGTCCAGCTGATTTGCCTTTTGACTTTTCTTGTATAATTAACTTTAAATTTCGACAAAAACTCTGTTCTAGCTCTGTATAGAAAGAAATATATGAGTGAGTGAAGGGTCAGAGAAAAAAACTAGATGCATTTAAAATATATTTTAAAGTAAAATAAATTAAACCTACCTAACTGGTAATGTTAAAGTTGCTAGCATAACAACAAAGTGATGAACTTGTGGTCGTGTCCATACAGACAATAATTGATGAGCATTAAATGTTGGAAACTGAATATATTGTGCTTTTGCAGTTGGAACACCGCATGGACAACGAATAATATGATTTAATAAAAAAAAATGATCAGGAAGAGTTCCCACACGCTGGAGAGCTGACACCTAATAAATATGTGCGCTTAATTACAATATAAAGAAAAATCCAAAACTAATTATATGCATTTAATAACAACACACTGAATAGGTGCCAACTAACTTGATATTTGAGTTACTTACAAATGTTATAACTTTGAAAAAAAACACAAAGAAAACTTTATTTTTATTAACCTATCAAAATATTCAGTAAAAGAAAAAAACAATATGTTATAGGCACGAAGAAAAGACCATAAAATAAACATAATACAAATTTTTTTTTACTTATCATCTTGCAGAAGCAAGAATATTTATTTAGACAATTTCTCATAACAAACAATAACAAAAATAATTACCCAATTTAAAAAATAAATAAAAAACAAAACAAAAACTTATCAGCTAAAAAACAGTACATGTTAAATTTTATTTTATATTAGCGCCACTTTTGATATTTTAAATTTTGTTTGTTTGATTTGTTATATTAATTTTTTAAAAAAATGTCTTTTCATTTTATCAAAAAAATGGAAAAATATTAACTATTAAAATATTAACTATTAAAAATATTAACTTAAAACGACATCTTACAAAGAGTTTATTTTTTTATAATTAAAAAAAAAAAAAACTCTTCTTTTATAGATAAAAATTTATTTTGCTTAAATTTTCACTTGAAGCAATAGAGATCTTGCAATGACTTCATTTTTATTTATAAGTTTTATTTTGTGAAAAATAATTTAGAAAAATAATATTTTATAATAGTAACATCAGCTTTATTAACATCAGCTTTAGTAACATCAGCTTTAGTAACATAAAAAAATAACAATTAAAAAAAAAAGAAAGGTGTTTACATCAACTTTTCTTGACCTTCCCCCTCCTCATTGTCAACAATTGTCAAAAAAGTTCAGACTTCTATTTTGTTGACATAATTAATGGACAGCCCTTTATATAAAAAGCAGATTGTGGGATATCAAAAAAGTAAAAACAGAAATTTATTTATAATTAAGAAAGAATTTTGATTAAAAAAGTGAAGTGATTTAAATTTAAAAAAGTTATTATTTTTTCTTGGTTTTTCTTGCTCCTTTCTATATATTACAAAAAGTTTTATTGTAAACATGTTATAAATTATAATACTGCATTAAAAATATTCATTAAGTGTACGTTTAACTTTTTTATCTTAAGGCAAGTGAAAGCGCAAACTTGGAAACTTAAATCTTTGTTTGTCACAAAAAAAAATGCGCTGGTAAAGTAATTCACTTGTTTTTTTTCTTTGCAACTAGTATTATTTATTGTTTGTTAATAACTTTTTAAAGTAAAAATTCATTACTTGCAAAGATGCAATTTTAAGAAATAATGAAAAAATTATATATATATTTTAATTAATTATACAAATGTTGAGAAAAGAAAAAAATTAATTCATGTTAAATGATAATAAAAAAATAAATTTAATTATTTAAAATTAAAAATTGCAACAAAATAGACACAATATGTACATTTACAAAATATTTATTAACCGAAGAGGGCTTAACTATGAAAACATTTATGATTTGATTAATACAAACAGACATCCTTACTACACTTTTAACCATAGTTTGACTTAATTGATTGTACTCTTATTGGAAATAAATTTGTTTTCGCAAAGCTACTATTCTGTTCCAATCAAGGCAACTGGTTCCCTAAATTGAAACACTTTGATTCCTTAATCAGAACAGGTTATTTTTTTAAAAAAAACAATAACAGTAAAATCAACAAAAATTGATTTAAAATAATTTTTATCTTTACAGTGAAAGTTTAAACAGTTCATTCAAAATTTATAATAGGATTAATATTATCCTGACAAACTGAAAGTCTACAAACATAAAATTATATTAAAGCTTTAACTATCATAGCGTTCTTTTAATTCATTGATTAAATTCACTAAATAAAGTATTATTTTTAAGGTTTATGATTGTTATTAAGTATTTTTAAATTGCGCTTGTTCCAATCAAGAAAACTTTGGACTATTTTGTTGTATCACTGCAATATCATACTTGCAGCAATTTATAAGATAAGTTTATATTGTTATTTTGCATTTTAAAACCCATCAAATAACACAAAAAAACGTATATAACCTATAGCAGTATAGTTTACCCAGCGCAATAAATATAGGATGAACACAAAATTAGATCACTACAAAAAAATGATGCAAAAAAAATTTAAATCAATAGTGCATATGCATTTTTTGAAGAATAACTTTCAAAATGTGTCAAAACGTAGAAAACAAGGCGTTTTATTAAAAAAAATCCAAAATATAGCCTTCGTTTTTTTCAAAAATATATAAATGTGTTCTAATTGGAGCGCTGTTCCAATTTCAGCACTAAATTCACTAAATCCAACATACTATGTACCAATTAAAAGGTTTTCTGTTATGTTTTGAACAAAATTGATTATTTATTTAATGTACTTTAATTGATTTAAAGATTAACAATTTTTAATGAGCTCAAAAGTTTACAGACATTTCACATTTTTATACGGACATTTCACATTTTTTTACAAGTTTACGGATATATTCACATTTTTTCCAAAAAATTGCTCTTTTATTGTTGTTGTAAACAATTACTCTGTGAAAATAATCTGGATCCACAAAGATTCAAAAGCAATCAGGAAGACACAAAACAACATACAGTCAGAATAAAAAGATGGCAATACTAAGCAACGAAAAACCCTATTTGGCAGCTATTGATTTAAATGAACAAATAAAACGTTTTTACAGAATAAATTACAGTATTACTTGTACAAAATGTTATTTACAACATACAAAAGTGTGCATGTTGTAAATAACATGCAAGGATTATACATAGATTAATTTGTACTTTATTATAATTTTCAGATAATGTATCAAGTTAAATTGTTTTTACTTATTTATTTACTAATAACCTGTATTACGGTTTGCTGACTACTAGCATTTATAAATAAGGCTAATAAAGAAATTTACCATTAAATCAAGCCATCGGTTGATATCTTCATCAAATTCCTTTTCAACAGCTCCTATTCTCAAAAAAGAAAATAGAACACTGATGCAATCTTGCAAATTGTAAAGAGTTGATATAGTACGTTCTGTTAAATCACATGGTAGATATACTAAAAAAAACAGAAAGATAATGTTATTAAAGTTACCTGTTAATATTTTATCACAAAACTATATATATGTTAGTCCCATAAAAAAATTTGGATTAAAAGTACATGGAATGAGTGATCCAAGCTACTAATATATAATTTAAATTTCTATGTAAATATATAAGCAAGTTCTGTCATGGTTTCCTTATTGTTAGTCAATGTATGTTCTTTTCTCTTTGTATAAAATTTCAATAATTTTAAAAGCAAAAAAAAAGCAATGGTTAAAAAGGTAATAAAAATAATAATGAAACCAACTAATATAACAATAAGTTGGTAATCAACAGAAAACAAAAAAAAAATTGAAGAGCAAGAAAACTGTTAGCAGAAAACTTAAAAAGTCTTCTGTTGAGACTATATGTGTCAAATAAAGCATAAAAACAAGAAAAAATTTTTAAAGGGATTCCCAACCGTCAAGACATGTTGAGTTCATATTTGGGCAATTCCATGTGAAAGCATCCCATTTTTTTATAAAATGCAACCTTAAGTCTCAGATTTTGCTGATTTTTACACCACTCAAAGATTTTAATGTTATAAACATATCCAAAATTTTATCTAATTCAAGTTTCAAAAATATGACTCTTCAAAATTTGCCCTGAACCAACAAAAATCTGCCATTTTGAAAAATAGTTTTGGTTCTTGTGTGCAATGAAAAGCTGAAAATATGTATACTTACATATTATTAAGCAAGGAATCCAATAAAACTAAAAATATTTAAAAATAAACATAACACCTATAATTTTGACCATTATCACAAATTTACTGGGGGAAATTTAATTACAAAAATGTCGATGTAAAAGATTTTTTTTTAATGTTGTTCTGAATAGTTTAGTTAAAGTTATTACAAAGAATTGGATAGTGGTCTTTTCTTAAACAGAAAAAATGGTCAAAATTACTTAAATTTAATGAAGTTTTTTCCTTTCAATTTGAAATTATTGTTTTTATGCCTGGAGTCTTTGCTAGCATTATAGTTTGTTCAAAAACTAAAAGTTTTTTTCCATTAGTAGTTCATAAGCTTTTTTATATTTTTAGAGCTCCTGGATACAAAAAAACAAACCAGAGTCTTTTTTTGGGCTCCGCATCCCTGAATAAACAAGGAAAGGGGTCTTAATAAGCTAGGGTGGCTGGAAAAATTTTTTAAACAGTATTAATCATCAATTTTCCCAGATCATAATTCAACCAATATATTTATATTATTTGGACATTAGAGACCAGGAAAAAATAGAGATATAAAGCCGGAGTCCGTTTGGGAATGCACATCCCTGATTTTTACTTGTTATGAACAATGAAACTATTCTTAAAACTAAAAACAAATAATAACTTTTATTAATTATTTTCTAATTTTTGAGACCATTCAGGTCATAAAAATTAGAAAATATAAACTCAGTTATAGAATCAAAAATAAAAATTCCTACCCTCTTGTTTATTAATACCCCATTCCTCACCACCCCCTTTCTATCTTCCCTCATTTATTACATATGAACAAAAACTTGATTTGTCTATTGATTGCAAGAGAATTACAAGTTTATATAGCTAAATTTTGTTTGATTATTTGACCAGTATGTTTTATAATCATTTCTCTTCTTTTATTTACAACTTACCTCACAACTCTAAAAACAATTGAAAATGATAGCGCACTATTAGAAAAATCACCTCCTGAATTACCAATAACACTTACCACTATTGCAGTGTGTTGCCTAACTTGAAATTTCTTGCCTATTGCTGTGAGAAATATTTAAAATATTTTTAGGTAAAAAAAACAAAGGCAGATTGTTTATATCTGTTATGATATTCTAATGATTATTACATTCTGACTATGAATTAGGTTTTAGGCTCAATTTTATAAACTACTAAATCCCAAATTAATTAAAATAATAAATGCTCCATCATATAAAACACATTGTGCCATATATAATCTAGAAAGTGATAAAATAATGAAATACAGAAATTGATGGTAACAACTTTATTAAATATTGGGGTTTTATACAATAATTGTCTCGTACAAATGTCGGCTACTGGTCAATAAAAAAACAACTGATTATTATTCATAACTAATAATTAAGAAACATTAAATAAAAAAGTCAGACTATGATTCTGAATTTTCTAATTAAAATTATATACTAATGATATACATTTGACAATGTTTGTTACTTCTGTTTTAGGAAAGACCACAATCCAATTCATATAAATATAACTAAATTATTCAAGATAAATAAAAATAAAAAAATTTTTCACTAAAAAAAGAGCCTATACATCTGCATTTTTTAATTCAACTCACCTACATTAAAACTTTAATAATTTAGCAAGTCAGCAACAAATAAAGGAACAATTTGATATGGTCCAAGCTTTTTCAGCTTCATTACTGTCAATTTACGCTCATTTGCTTAACACTATGTGGAATAAAAATAATAGGATGGATGGGAACTTTTATTTAAGTGTTATAAATGTGGGGAGATGAGAAAAGGAGATGATAATTTTTTTCTTCCTATAAGAAAGTTTATACTTAGAAAAGACTTTAATGGATCTCAAAAATTAAAAAAAAAAAAACTGAAATTTTTTTTTTCAAATTTGGGATACAGTTTTTTTGTTTGTAACAAGTAAAATTTAATAAACAGGAGGAGGGTGTTCTAATAAGCTAAGGGTAGGTGGAAAATTATTTTGAAAATTATTAAACATCAACTGTTGTGTATTATGCACTTAAGAGTACCACCTTTTTTTAATTCATTTTTCATAATTCCTATTTTTTAAGTAACAAATTTAAGTAAATTTGACCATTTTTTCTGTTTAAGAAAAGACCACTCTCCAATTCCTTGTAATAACTTTAACTAAACTATTCAGAACAACATAAAATTTTTTTTTTTTTTTTTAAATCAAGCTAAATCAGCATTTTTGTAATTAAACTCGGGCTATTAAAATTGAGATAATGGTCAAAATTATAGGTCTTATGTTTATTTTTAAATATTTTTAGTTGTTTTATTGGATTCCTTGCCTTAAAATATGTAAGTATACATATTTTCAGCTTTCCATTGCACACAGAATAAAAGCATTGACTAAAATCATTTTGCAAAATGGCAGATTTTTGTTGGTTCAAGGCAAAGTTTAAAAAGTCATATCTTTGAAACCACTTGGAATTAGATAATAAAATTTTGGAAATGCTCATAACTTATTAAAACCTTTGAGTGGTGTAAATATCAGCAAAATCTGAGTCTTGAGGTTGCATCCCTGGATGTTTTCACATGGAATCGCTTATTTAAAAGATTGATAAAAAAAGGTTTTGGCTAAATTTTTCTCTTTCTCTTTTCTACAAATACTATTATAGTTGCTGCTCAAAAGAGGTGTTAACTCTAATTCCATTAACTAAAACTCATAAAATAATAATTGATTTGAAAAGTTTTTGAAAAAAAATATTTTAAGGGGTTGCTACTGACCCTCGAACATTAAATAGGTCCCTAATATTTAAAAAAAAAAAAAGTTTTTCAAAAGTATGTCATGTTGGTATTTCAAAAGTGTGTCTCAAATGAAGAGAAAATATATGAAAAACTTTTAAAATAATCATCATTTTATGAAAATTAGGAAAAAAAATTATAATAAAACTTGTTAAATTCCCTATTTTTTTATTTTTGTAAAAAACCACATTTTCTGTTCAATAAAAATATACAATTTAATTATAAAATGATTCATATATTAGGGACCTATTTATTGTTTGAGGGTCTGTAGCAACCCCTAAAAATATTTTTTATTCTAATATCAGATCTATTATATAAAATATATTTAAGGGGTGCTAGCAGACATTTTCAAAAAAAGTTGTTTTTTGAATTACCATTATGGGTCACCTATTTTTTATACATGAAATTGGGCATGACAAAAAGTCATAACTCTTTGTATATATATATATATATATATATATATATATATATATATATATATATATATATATATATATATATATATATATATATATATATATATATATGTATATATATATATATATATATGTATATATATATATATATATATATATATATATATATATATATATATATATATATATATATATATATATATATATATATATATATATATATATATTCAGTACAATTATTTTTAATGAAAAGTCATCCATTCAAGAGGATGTCCCCTCAGGAAACTATAAATTTTTTTTCACTCAATAAGGACTACCTTATTTTATATATATATATATATATATATATATATATATATATATAGTATATATATATATATATATATATATATATATATATATATATATATATATATATATATATATACATAGTAAATAAGACATATAATTTTTCTTAACCAGATTTTTATTGCTCTGTTCTTCAAGAATATTGAGAGCTTATTTTGTAAAATACACTAACCTAATTGACATAAAATTTTATAATATTTTATATCATAAAAACATAATCCTCAAACAGCTTAAAGGGATCCCAAACTGCCAAGACATACTATGTTTATATTAAAAGATCAATTATGTAAACAAACAAAAAAATCAATGGCGCCATATACTTTAAACTTTTAGGAGTAAAACGCCCTTGAATAAATATCAAGTCTAAGATTGCGGTATATATTTTAAAAACTATTTTTTCTTCAGTAAGAGGGTTGCCATTTATCAATATAAGAAAGTTGACAGTACTGCGATAGTTGTTTGTAATAAATAAGTGAGTTTTGTTGGAGTTAAATTTCACAAGCCACTGTGAGCTCCAATGTTAAAGAAGTAACATCAGACTCAAGATTGCTTGTACTAAGCAATCAAAAAAAAAAAGACTTTTTGCCAAGACAGGAGTGTAAAGTTGAGTCATCAGCAAAAAGAACTACTTTAAATATAAGGTTGCCGGGAAGATAATTAATGTAGAAAAGAAACAAAATAGGACCAAGGATAGAACCTTGAAGTACCCCAGAAGTTATTGGAAATAAAGAAAAATATTAGCCTTCGCAAATGACTT